AATATTAAGTGCGATTATGTACCCCGTGTTGCATATATTTATCCAGAAAGAAATGGTAAGTGGTCTGAAATTTCGTATATTTTAGAATTTTCTTCCATATTGATTATTTGTCGTCAGTTTAATGTAGAAGGCATGGCAGTACGCACACTACACTAAAACGAATATCAAGAAGATATTGGAATTGTTTCAGTTAGTTTCTTTTTTGAGTGGAAATTTCAGATGAACATTTGGATGGAGGCTACAGCTCACAGACCGACTGTCCAGATTTATTTATCCCAGATTTCACGCGAGCTAGGACTTTCATCGAAAGTGATCGCTGGCCCGGCGACGAAGAATTTACATTGACTCTTACGGATGAATCGGGCAAAAGGTTGGCTTTTGCTCAAAACATGCTGCGAGATATTTAATTCCTATTTTCAGATAATATTTTACGAAACGAAAGATTTCTCGTGTTAAGCTTTAATTTTTCCTGTATAAGCTGTCTGATGACATACTTGCAAATTTAACTCATATTTTCAAATCTTTAAAATATTTGTCTCTTTGCTTCTATATCTGTTCCAGTTTGATTACATTTGATGAGAGATCCCATGCTTATCAGTCAGTACATTTAATGCTCTACTTGCTATTTATTATTCATTTCATGCTCTACCTTTAAATTATTGAAATTTGTAAAACTCTTTGCACTGTTTTGTCTACGTTCCATTAAACGGTATAGTTGTAGTAATAAATTTCAGGACTTTCGCATATTGCATACGTCATTTGATACGGCAACACGAAGCGAATCACGATCAAGGTATATTGATTCCAATTTTTTTTTGCGGAGAGATATTTCATTCATATCTTCTTTTCATTTTTTAAAATGTATGTTATACTTCCTAACATTTACAATTTTTTCTATGTTTTGCCAAAAAAAAGGAAGATATTGTACTTTTTTCATAAAGATATTTTATCTGATTTTTATCATATGAATTTGTTATTGGATTGTATACCTAAAATCAGTTAATTCTACTGTACTACTATAGCTTCGCAGATAATGTCACTACATCTCGGTGAAAAGTAAACTAAAATTGCTTCTTTGGTTTGCATAAATGATTTTATGATGCGAATAGTTGTAAACAAAATTATTTACAGCTACTTGTTCAAAAGAAGGTGATTTGCCAGAAGTTTTTGCGATCATTTCACCGATTCATGCACCACTATTTTATTTTGCACTTGCTCGAGAATGTGTATGTTATCTGCACGATAGTTTGGAAAGGCTGAAGAATTTGCTCAATGTTGTTTATCGATGCACATTTCCTACTGATGGTTGAAATCTTAAGCTTTCTTATTTTTTCTTCAGCCTTTGAATGAAAATTAAATGAATGAATGAAAAAATGAATGAAATGAAATTTATACTTTTATATTTTGAAATTTAGGAAAGAATTGAATTTCCATTATTTTAAAAGAATTTCATTCATATACTCAAGTGTAACTACTGAGTTAGCAGTATTTCATTTTAGGCAGTTCTTTGCATGTTTTCGAAAAAGCAAAAGATGGTACCAAACGAAATATTGTAATCCGAGGGCAGGGTCCTGTACTGGGTCAATCAGATTGCTCTGCAGTTGTGCAGCGGATGGGGCCAGAAGTTACAGTTGCTGTAATTGGAGCTTTATTGGCTGAGCAACGAGTTCTCATTGCCGGTGGCTCGGTAGTTTCGCAGTTGCTTATGTATTTAAATGGTCTTCAATTAATTCGGGGATAAAACTAAGGGATATTTAAATTAAATCAGTGAGTAGGAGTAAGAAAGACAAGCTTCCAAGTTAAATTTTGAGAAGATGAAACACCATGAAATAAAATCAGGGAAAAAGGAATGATAAAAATATATCAAAGATTACTTAATTAGTAATTAATTTTAGGTACAGTGTATTTGTCATGCAGTTCAGTCAATCGCTTGTTTATTGCATCCATTTTCATGGCCTTACACATTAATTCCAGTTTTGCCAGATTCTTTACTAGAAATAGTAAATTCCCCAACACCGTATCTTATCGGGTTGTTAAGGTTAGTTGGTTCTTTTTACCTATCTTTTTCTTTGCTATTTTTTAATTAATTGATATTTTAATTTATCGGTGCAGTCAGTTTGGTCGCTTCTGTTGAAGCATCGATGCATCCAATCTAAAATAAATTTTAGGACAAATATGTATAAATTGAAGCCTTTGGTTGTCAAGGATAAGAATCGGTGCACTGATGATCTCAACCAGGTAGATTTTACAGATTTTATACCAGGTAGATTTTACAGATTTTATAAGTCATTAAAAATTTCACACTATCGTTTCCGGGAACTTTCGTCATATTATGAACCGGTTATCATTTCGAAAGTATTAGATGCTTTATTTTGAGGACGACCTTGTTATAGTCGATCTCGACGGCGGTATATTTGTGCCACAGCTTACCGAATTACATGCCGCAAACGAAAATGTTGATTTCAAAGCAAAAAACGCATTCGCATTATGCGAGAAACTTTTGATGCCTAGGAAGCTTGCAGTAAATCTTGCCACAAAACTGAAAGAAGCTGTTGCTGTTGGTGAAGGCCCTCGCGCCGATTTTTTGCTTCAGAAAGTTGGTTTTTGTTTTGGAATGAAAAAGAATTCTAATGAATTGGGATACGAATTTGTTCGGTTTGAACAGAGAAGCATGAAGAGACAGTTTTTTGATTTCACCTTTTTAAATACGAGGAGAAATTAGTCGCCGAAATTTATTTTATATCAAAAAAAAGCTTCCAGGCAATGCTGTCGTGGTTTGCGGCTCTAATTTGGCCCTATAAAGGTTGTGGCTTCTGTGCAGCATTTATAGCCGAATCAAATGGCGATTTTGAATCAATTCGTATTAGCAAAGCTCAGCTAGTCGCCTCACATACTTCTAAATCTGCTCGACGCTTTACAAAATGGTTTGTCGAAACTGGTATTTTTCGTGAATGGATCCGTCGGAAGGTAATTTGTTGTAATTTTTTCTTTCAAAATCGAAAATATGTATAATCATCTTCGAAGTCCAAATATTATTATATTTTTATAGGTAGCTAGTACTCCGGAAATGGTTAACACTATTCCGCATATCGCGGAAGATATGGCAAATCAGAAATTCGATGAATGCATCATTGCAATAACACCTCAAGTATCCCAAACGCGTATAGCTAACATATTCACAAAAGCGCACAACGTTATTTTTCGTTCTCATTTGTTGAAGAAATTATGAGCTTAAAATACGTCAAAACTATGTATTGTTAAATAAAATATTTAGGGATGATTTTTGTATATTGCATCCTTAAACGATTGCATTATAAATGATTATTGACCTGAAAATTGTTCTATCGTTTCGTACCTTGTCTTGCAGGTGAAATTTTTTCAATTGTCACAGCAGAAATAATGAAGACATTATGATTTCTTGAAAGGGAACTTTCGCAAAAATATTTGAAATGCAATTCAGTAATTCCAGAAATGATCATGATAGCTTAGCTTTGAAATTCTTAGAAGCAAATGGATTATTGGTAGCAACAATTCAAATGTCTCAAGTTTTGCCGAGTAAAATTATTGAATTTACAACGGAAAAATTTTAAATTTAATGTTTTTGTGTATTGTTTTTACATGCAGGGAACGGAACAACTTTTCTGAACAGCTGTCGATGACAGTTGTGGCGTTAGTTTGAAATATTGTTCTTGTGCATTGATCGCATCCATCTAGATCCATGACTGCTTGATGATATATTGCTTCAGTGTAATGGCGGGTGGGGATATTTTTGTTTGTTAACAGGACGACACGGTCCAACTGTGAATTGCAGGCAAATTTTTTGGATCCCTAAATCGGTTTTTTGAGATTCTGAACTTCTGAAAAGTTATTGCAAGAAAACTTTTTTTCATTCTTTCATTCTTACTTTCTTAGTGTCAACAACCCATCCACCTAATTCGCTGACTTCAAATTTTTGTTTCCCGTCAAATGTTCACTGTTTAACCCAATCATTTTCTCATTTCATCCATTCACTCGTTTTTGCAGGTGAGGTGTTTTCCCAAACGGTCCTTCTTATGTTCAGTTCCTATTCCATTTTGAATTCATTTTCAAATTATCATTGTTTTGTCAGCAATGAACTTTTCTATGTTCACTGGAGGGAACTATATGTGAAGTCCTTTTAAAGAGGAAATTTGATTCCACTCAATTAATTAATGCTTGTTATACAGTGAAATGATGGCCAAATTCATTCACCCTTCTTTTTCTGTCACTTATGTCTTTCTTAAATACTTTATAATCCATCCGGGCTACGACAAAAAGACAAGTTCAAGTTGTTAAGTTTTATGGAACACTAATTCCCACTGTCTCATTTTGACCGAAGCGAAACAACGACACCGTGAGACGAAATAGGTCTAAGCATGCATCGGCGAAACTAGGTTGGTGGCGTTGCGGTGATTGAAGCCAGGTTGCTTCATCATTCCCGCATACTTCAGAATTTTCTATTAATTCTTAACGAATGGTGCAAAGTTTTGCAGTGGAGGTCTGGTCTGATCGTGTAGAGGTTTTTGTGTTTACGTTTGTATGGCATTGTCAGGGGTGTCATCTGAACATCCTACTTGGGTTCATATTTGTTGCAAAATGTGGTTGCTTTTTTTTACTGGATGCATAATTGTTTCATTAACAATTATATACCGATTGACTAGTTGGTACTATCCATATAGAGACTGAAATGCTGATGTTAACTGAATAATCTTTCTCCCTGCTAAATCAAATATTGGTATCAGAGCATGGTTTAAACTGGGCGGCAGTCTTTCTTTTTTTTTCACATGAAATATTATTTGTTGCTTATGTTTGTCACAGTCACGATAGTTAGAATTTCAGTTTTTGACAGTCTCAAATTATTTTTGATTGCAGGATATATATCAATGCATTTGTAACGAATGACAACTTCAGTACTAGACGATGAAAATGTTCATGTCAAAGAACTCAATAGAGTGAGTTTTTTATTCGTTAACTGCATGCGAAATGTAGTGACTTCGTCAGGGACTTTTAGAACTCATTATAAGTGAATTATTGAAAATGGAAAATTTGTTTTTCTTTGAAGCTGTTTCTAAGTTGCACCAAAAATGGCGATACATACTTGGATGCAGTTGGTCTACGAGATTTGTGCAGCAAACTCAATCTTTCTTCCTTTGCTGATGTCATACTTGAACGAATACTCAGTGGTTGTACAGTTGTCGATTTTACGGTATACTTTATTCTGTGGGGCTTCTATTCCAATTCTGTGGGGCTTCTAGTCCAATAAACATGGATTATTTTTTGGTAAGCTTTAGCTAATGACCCAACTTGCTAAAGTTGATAATAGAAAGTCGAGGATTAATTTGAGACGAGAGGAAACCGGTGGCTATGAAAAAATTATTTGAAGATTTTCAAAGAACGCTTCATGTACTTGCTGCCAGATATTATCAGCGTTACCACGGTAGCAGAAAATCTTGAAAGTAATGCGGAAAAAAATTTGTCGGAGCTTGGGATTGAGCCTCATGGCTTTTTAACTCGATGCGAGGTCCGTATTTTGTGTGAACATACGCCAAAATTAAACAGGTAAACGCTAAATATGCAGTGAAAAAATCCCTTTCGCAGTAAAATATGTAAAAGTGAAACTTTCTGTGAATTGGTTCTTTTCGTATGTAATATATTCTGGAGCTTGAAAATGAAATATTCTTTGAAAAACAATCTTTCAGTCTTGAGGTAGCTCAGATCGATGAGCTTTTTGATCAGGCGGATACCAGCCACGTAGAACGCGTCACATTAGCACAATTTCTTGCCCAGTATTATATGCAAAAGCGGTTAAGCGAAGAAGTGAATTTTATTACAGAAACTTTAGTACCATCAGTGAATTTGTTCGAGGCATTGGATCCTTCTAACACTGGGTAATCGTGTAGTGTTTGTATCAAATTCTTGATTTATTGTTTGTTAAATGCTGAACCTTTCGTAAATAAAACCGAAATCTTATTAGCACATGCATACAATGACCAATATTACGTTTTAATTTTTAGAACTGTTCGATGTGAGGAATTGTTAGAATATTGGCGAGCATGCGGTATCAGCTTGGAACAGGGTTTATATGTTTTGAAGGTAGAATGAATGGAATACTGTTGAAGGTCATGAATTTTCATAGATGGAAATGTAAAAACTTCATTTTATCAATTCTTTTGTTTAGCTTTCCGGCCAACCACTTGAAGGAACAGTCAATACTATTTCACTCAGTGGTAGTTTGGAGCGACAATTAGGTAATTTAGCGGCCGCACCGACTGCCTCCACAATAATTCGAGTTGCCTTGCTTTCACTTCATGCCTTCATCGATCATATAAGGTGAGTTTATCTATCTTGTTTTAATTGTCAATTTCATCCATTCATTCATTAACATGCATTTTAAAGGCGTTCATTAAAGATCAAGCATGTTCATGGATAAAAGTCAGAAAGCATACATTTCAGGTGTTCGCTAAAGGAAGCTGAATTGCGTGCAGAGCATTTTTGCAAGCAATTCCAACAAATGAACCAGAGACATGTTCTTCTAATTGAAGAACTGGAGCAAAATCAACTCTCCATTGAACAAGCATGTGAGCAGCGATTTAGGTTGGTTTCATCAGAAAATTTTGGCATGTAAAATCATGTTTTGTGGCATTGTTTTGTTTTGAGCTTTATTTCATTTTTTTTATTCTTTGACACAATTCTCAGGAATTTAATTTGTATTGGAGTTTTTGTCAAATTATCTGTCGCATTTTTGCTAATAATTGCCAATTTTTAAAAAACATTGTCTTTATTATAGTAATTTGGATGAACGTTATCGCACGAAGATAAGTCAAATAGAGGAACGCTTTTCTCAAGAAAAAAAGGATTTGTTAACCGAATTGGAAAAGGTTGTTTTGAAAAGTATTTTATATTATTGTAAAATTTTCTAAGTTTGAATCACGCAAAACTGATACTTTCTCACAGGAATTCAGCTTAAAATTATTAATCTGAAGAGAAAGGCTAGAACGGTGCGCCATCCATGGAAGAAGAGAAATTAGAATTTTAGGCAGAAGAAGAGCTTGCTCAATTTCGGAAAAATGAATCATCATATCGTACTCGTTTGCAACTGCTTGAACGACAGTGCACACGAATTACGGAAGAAGCGAAGGAATTATCTGAAACGATGCAGCAGTTAGAGCAAATGAATCGACACCTGCGCAGCGAACTGAATAAAGCGTTACAACCGCGGCCAATGGAAGAAACTCAGCCAACGATGATGTTGAGACATCGCGTTGAATTACTTATTGCTCACAACAAGGTTTTTGATAGAACTGTTGAAATGAATTTATAGATTTGAATAGATAAGAACATAAACACTTCTTCAGAGCCTACGATATATCATACGAACATATTACGGAAAAAAATATGGCATGAAAAAAATGCTTTAAGAACTTGATACTACTTTTCAAGGAAAATATTAATCTTCGATTACAGTTGCAAAGTTTGATCAGATTTGTTCTTTAGTTTGCAAAACAATGAAACGAATTGTGGAAAATTTAGTAGATAGATCTTAGATCACTTATTTATATTAATTGGCTGTTGCCATCAAATATAGTGAAGTAAATGAATTAGTTGCTTCAGCATCAATCATTGAATAAATCTGCAAAATTTTTCAGAGATTGCGGGAAAAAATAGAAGAATTAACAATTAATGGGAAAAAACGCAATAATCGTTTAAATATGATTGAGCCACTTTATTTTCACTGGACTAGCACGTTTAGATTGGAAATATTGGCGTTAAAAAAGCGCAGGGACGGTAGATCATTTGATACGCCCTCAGGTAGATAACATTTTTTGGCCTCAGTATAATGAAAATATTACTCAAATTTGTTCTGGAAGTTGCTAAAATATTAGCAGAACAAAAGATATATTCCAATTCATAACACCATTATTCAGAGATGGAAAGTGAACCGGAGTCAATCTTTATAAGATCCAGAAGACGTCGCATGCTAAAAGTCAAGGAACGGAAACGTCGGCATGACCGAATTGCTAAAGTTATGGAAAATTCGTCGTCAAGTATGTTCATCGTATTTAAAACTCATGGTTATTCATATCGTAACTTTTCTTTTTAAAAATGAAAGTGTGAAAATAAGATGTCGAAGTTTAAAGTGAAAGTTTCGAAATCTTTAAACATCTTCATTTTTGAACGATTTTGAATGTCTTCATTTTTCACCAGGTTATTAGTAATTTAGATGAATGGGTTGCGAATAAAAGGAAAGATAAGGAAAAGGTATCAGATGTTGGGTTGAGTAAAAAGCTCAAGCAAGCTTTGTTGGAGGGTTCGCATGATAGTATGGTGGAACAAATCAAAGAACAACATCGAAAAGAGATTGTGGCTTTAAAGCATTCGGCTGACAAGACTCTTGTAGATGCTTTAACTGATCAGCAACGACAAATTACACAAAGGCAATTTTTATAATTGAGAATTATTGAATTTAATGTTTAAAATTTGATATACAATGTTGCTTTTACAAGTTAGAGTTAAAAACGTTTGAAAGCATATTCTTTAGACATTCATAATATAGAGGAAGACCTCGATGTCACAAAATTTTATGTTGAATTTGCACAAAGTTTGAACCCAGATAGAGCTTTGTTATGAAGAACTTTAGAAAATTGAAGTTTCTTGACTACAGTAATCATACATTGTTGTAGTTTTGAGAAGGAACGGCGCCAGTTTCAAATAAAATTGGTCACTGAAAGAAATACTTTAGAACGAAAGTTCGCAGAGGAAAAAATGAAAATGATCGATCGACTGCAGGCAACTTTCTGTATTCTCTTACCGAATTTTTTAAATTCCCAGTTTTATCCATGAACGTATATAAAAAAGAATGAGGCTCAATAATTCATTTTCAGGGAAGTGAAAATTTCAGACATATATCAAAATTTTATTACAGGAAGAATTTGAATGCGAATTGAGCCGCCTAAAAATGGTCATGTCTACGACATCTGACGACTCACGATTATTTACTCGTGGCCTTTGGGTAAAGATTTCATTTTTGGGATTTGAAATCTTACTTTGCCTACAATTTTCAAACATGAAATCTTATGTCAGTAGTTGAATCAACAAATTTTTGCGACTGTGCAACGAAAAAAAATAACAGAAGTATTAATAATATTATTAACAATAATAAGTAGCAAGCAGCTACTCACAACTATTTAACATTTAAGTGTTAATTGTGTGATGTTTAGCAGTATAATGGCGAAAGCAGTGCTCTTGAAGGTATGAAAAACATTCAAACGCATAGTTCAGTGCAATCTCTGCCCAACGTTAAACTACCAAAATTCAGTGGTCTGATGGAGGAATTCCGGTAAAATTTAGCAGTAGAAAGAAAAAAGTGGGGAGATGAGAAATCACAAAAGCAACAATAGTTTTCTATCGTTAACTTCTACATGTAATGTGTGAAAGTAAGATGTGATCAATATGAGAATGCAAAAATAAGAGAATGCGAAGCTAATAAATGGGCAGAATAAATCGTTAAAAAATAACGATTTATTCTGCTTAATACTAAGGCTTATTTCGGAACAGTCGATCACAGTGTTTGATTTTGTATTCAAAATCTTTTGTTCTCAGTATAACAGTTTTACGATTACCAAGATCCAGTTTAATCACTGCATTTACTTTGCAGGGAAAATGGTAATTCATGTAATATGTTTAATCAGAGTAACGATATTGATAAGTTGAATATAGAGAAGATATCGTCACCACCAAAAACGTTTTGCAAGGTAAAATTGTTATAGTTTTATTATTGCTTATTATTTCACTAGCTGCTTATTTCCTACATCTTAATTTGTAGCGGTCACTTCTGAATTATAACTTTATTTCTGATTTATTGCACTGCAGAATGTTTGGATGGTACATGGCAAATGTTCTCATTATGAAATGATAAGGACAAAGTTAAAGCAGATTCATGCGGCAGTAACAGGTGACAACAATACCGTCGAGAGTGGCTTTGAGGATGTTATCTCTAGTGCTGACAGCGTAGCTGAAGTAAGCGCATTTCATTTCCTTTGTCAATATATTTTGCACTCGTTTTGACTATTGAAAATTAACTATTATTTTATGAAATTATTGATTTAATTGCTGGATTGCATTCCAGTACATTTGGATTAGTGTAGGAATTATAGGAAAGGTATTGTTTTCAATAATGATGTGAAGAGGTAGTATAAAGGCGTTTAGTTTTCAAATCATTCCTTTTTTTGTGAGAGTTTTGAATCAAAATAAAATGGAGGAAATAGAGGCAAGCAGAAAATTTGAAAAGTTGAAGCGCATTTTAAAACTAATCATGAAGAATGTTAATATCTGCAGGGACAGGCACATTTGAAGAACGAAATCAAAAAACTAAGCAGTCGACTTTGTTCTGCTCGTGAAAAAATCATCGAATTGCGTGCTTACTTTGCAAGGTGCTCTTCTGGTTGTGTGGAGAGCTTTGAAAGTTGGAAAATTGGACAACCAAGTAACGATTGCTTGGGTACTGAAAGTACGTGGATAGCTAATGATAATAGTAACATTTCGAGGATTGAACAACTTAAAGCGGAGAATGTTTTGCTTAATGCGCGATTAGCAGAATCAACAGAATTGGTGAAAATGTTGGTTCGAGAATATAGTGATCAGTTGAATAGAACATCACGTTTAGGGAGATTTATCCGTTCCATCTACTCTATTAACGGTGAATAATTATGACTTTGCACATTCCTCTATACTAATTTAATTATCGAATTCACGCATTTCTTATCTGTATGTTGTGCTTGGTCTAGAAATAAAATTTATAAATTTTCTTTGTGTGAACAAGTGTTATCTTTCTATGGAAACTGCTGTTTAAGCTGTGGGTCATTTTCCCATGGAAATCTTTCTCTGATATTTGAAAAAATCGCAGCTGTGAAAAAGTTGAGGTTATCTAGGAAGAAGTCTTTAGCAAAAATGGAATAAGAGGGTCACTGATGGAGATGTAGGGAAAATTTTGGTCTATTACAGTTATGCATCTAAATGTTTTCAGGATGAAATAACCAGCGTAGTCGAAATATGCTTTCCGTTTAGCTTTTTTTTTTGCAGGGATTTCTTATGATTCTTTAAATAAAAAATTGTGGAATGGATCGCCTTTCGAAGGCTCTAAATGTTTTGCAGGCAACTAAGAAGTCGGACTGGGTCGTTACGTCCAGGTCGGTTCTTATTCGCTGTAAATACTGTTGAGGTGACATATAGTAATTGGATGTACTGATATATGCTGTAAATGGTACAGGCAACATTTGAACAGCGTAGTCGTGTAGTTTCGTTACTGCATAAATATCCGGTGACTTCACAAGGAGTTAAGATATCTTTTAGACATGCGTTTTATATTAGAGGTTTTAAATTCAAGCCATTTTCAAACTTCGCTATTTCTAATATTTAGGGGGCTTGATTTTTACTTTTTTGTTGATAAGATTAGGCAATGTTCACATGTGGTCAGGAAAGTCATTTCATGACTTGTTAATTTTCATTTTTACAGCAGAAAGACGGAAGTTTGCGGAAAAGAGCATGCGGCTTTCTCAGATATCAAAAATGTTCTCTTTCGATCTGAAGTCTGGTTAGTTCACTGCTTATTTGAAGGTAGTATGAAACGAAACATGGCTAAATATTTACTGTTTAACAGAACTCGTTTCCTCAAGAAGGTATATGAGGCACTACTTCATAATGTTAACTGCTGGACGGTTCAAATCGTTACAGATACATAACCGTACTAAGTTATGGTCATACCATTGCTTCCAGACGCTTTACACTTTATAATCAAGTAGATAGTCTTAATGATTATACTTTTTTCAATAATTACTTTTTTTTACATTGTTTTCATTATTAACTAATCTTTATTTTTCAGGAAGGATCCGAAATACAACGACGAGTTCAATCGTGCAGTGAAAATTTTGTTTGAATATATCAATCATCGAAACAGTGACCTTCGTATGTTAAGTGAACAAACAATGGATTCGGTGCTAAGGGTGGGTATCACGAAAAGGAAGTCAATGTTTAAATAAGTTATTTCTGCTGGTTTGCGGCTTATAAGCTAGCCATGATTGCATTCTTAGTTTTTTCAGCAACATGTAATTAGGCATTTTTCTCCATTAACTCGAAGAAAAAGTGAACATGAGAAATTTAATGTAAATTATATTGTTACAGCTGGATATCATTTACAGCATTTGGCTATTGATATGAATACTTCACGGGTTATTGTTGTATTAATGTCAGAAATTAGACGGAATGGACCTTCACGATCACTTGTTTTTGCGTTTTCGCGGCTGCCGGATGCTCTAAAATATGTAAAAATAAATCGTTCACGGTTAGCTAAAAATTTTTAATTGATTTCACTGTTCTTCCATCATCCAAAAAAAATTCAAAGTTAAGAAGTGCATATGATATGTACCAGATCTATAGTAAATATAACTTATTAAATTGAAAAATGACTGATTTATCCTCGTATTTTGTTACATTTTTTCAGGGCTATAGGGATGCATCTAGTTTCTGCTCTTCCAAAAATCTTGATTCGTTCAGAAGAAGTTGTGCAGAGTGCTTTGGAAAAATATCTTCCTCCGGTTTTTGCATTCCTTGGTTCGGATTTTGCTACACAACCAAATGATAATATATTGGTAAGTGTGAAGTACTAATCAGTATGATGTAAATATGTTATGAAATTTGTATATGATACTCACTGTATCCAAAGGATGACAAAGAAGAAACAATTTGATTAATTGTTATTTCCAGAAACTCTATGAAGCAGCACTTTCTAATTTGGAGTTGCCAGGTGTAACGAATCGGGCAGCTGCTGTCGTCATATGTCAATTGGCTACTTATGCTGAAGTTATACGCAGAAAAGTTTTTCTACATTTCCTTAGTAAATATACCATTTTACTTTGATTTTCAACTGCAGTTTATTTTACTTTAAAAGTTAAAGTAAGAGCTTTGTTACCTTTCTCTTTAGAAGTGTTATCTAAAGCAACTGAACAGCAAAATAAAAACTTGCTAGTTGGAACGTTGAATTCATTGCGCCTACTGTGGCCTCTTTATTTGTTGAGGAACAACAGTGAATATGATTTGGATAGTCTGCAAAGTGTAAGTAGAATAGTTCTTTAACTTAATGAATAGAAATACTGAATCAATGTTAGAAAACTAAAGTTTGGTTTGCATTTTTTATCTTTAAATTCGTGGTACTTAACATTTGATTAAAATATTTGCATAGATCTTTATTCTAGATTATTCATGGCTCACTACGTTGTCTTTTTTCGCCTCACAATGAAATCGTGGTTGCTTCATTGGAATTTCTCGAAAAAGTGGTTTCATCTCCACTCATTGCCCTTGACGTAGAGTCATTTTATCCACAACAATCATACACTTTAAAATCTGATGTGGAAGAACAGGATATTACTGTGCCGATAAGCTTCCCTTCTTCTCGTCAGTTTTTATATCCCTTCTTCTCGTCAGTTTTTATAGTTTGATATTTTAAATGTTGTTTCACTTTTATTGAGCTTCTTAATCTTCTTTTCTTTTACAGATGCTACCAGTTGTATGAGTTCACTGAGAGCTAGTCCTGTAAATTTCTTTTTTGGTAGAATATCTTCTGAAGCAGTGGATTTAGTTGACAGCAGTGTTCAGCCTTCATTCAGCTTACCTTTAAGTGCGAATTCTTCGAGCTCAAAGATGGTGAGTTAAAGCGTGCTTGTTGTCCTTTATAACAAATCAAAGAGTGCTATGTAATAGGAGAAATTGTAAAATGGCTTCTGAAAATTGCAAAATGTGAAAAATTCCTGATTCCGTAAAATATACGTGGTTGCATTACTTTTTTAGCAGAACGAGTCATGTTCGGAAAGTGGCATGGATATTATTGATCCATTAAGACATTTAGAAATATCCGGTGATCTAACCGTTCGGTGTTCTAGTTCATCAGAAGAATCGTTACCTGAATTGACACCAACGTCATCTACTCCGATACCTGAATATTTGCCTGTAGATATATGTAATTTCTTATTTCAGTTTACTTTATTATGATAAGTGGTACCAAGGATCGTAAAAAAATCAACCTTAAAAGTTCCTGATTAGCAGCGCCATGATTATTATAGTTATTTGTGGTCTTATCTGGTGATATTTTCAAAAATAAATTGTTCGAGAAAGTTAAAAATCAGTGTATTTTTTATAGCATTTGGGCCATTTCTCACATATACAGCTGTACTTCTGGCAAAACGATTTTTATTAAGTGGACAGTGCTTTAAATTGTTGGCTGATAGCGAAGTTCGTGTAAGCCACAAAATTTTGGCAATGTCTTGTTTGGGCAATCTTGCTTTATATTTGCCGAAATTTGCAGATATAACTCTTCAGCCAAAGGGTAATTATTCCCATTATCAAACTAATGTTTTCAGTATAATCAGAAAGTTATATAGATATTTATAACAAATATCATTATTTTATATTTATGATAGCGAGATTTAGGTGGTTTGGGCATACAAACATTGAAGGACCTTCAACTTTATCTAAATCACGAAGATGATCAGTTAAAAGCTGCAACAATCATTGTGTTCGTAAATGCTGAAAAATGCCGATTCCGAACTTTGGGTGAACAGTTCCATGGTTGGTCTTCTATAAACTTTGCATACATGGTTTGCTAAAAGACTGCGATTCCCATTTTTTTCTGACAAAAGTCTGCAGTTCCTCTTTTAAAAGGAAACTCATCAGATAAGTTAGAAACTTACATTTTTGTAGAATTTCGTTGCTCATTCATTTCGTTTGTATATGATGCGATTCGCATTCGTCGTGCTCACTGCAGTCGCTCGTTGCTCATAGCTCTAAAATCTGCAAAAAAACTGGTTTATCAAACTGGTATTGTATACGATGTTGCAAAGTTTGCTTGTGAAAATTATAGGGATAACTATTTTTTGCTGCGGGTAAATATTTTTAACAAATATTGTTGGATGTTAATGTACGCAATTTGCTTTTATTATGAATGTCATAAGAGCTGTTCGTGAAGATTTTGTACTTCGTATTATGGCTGCTGAATAATATTCAAAAAGAAAAACATAGTTCTGTCAAGAATCCGTTTTTCAGATTTGCTGGAATGACGGTCATTTATGGAATATCTGTTATTTGATCCATTTCAGATAGCTGTAGTGGAATATCTAGCAAATATCGAGTGGGCATATGCAAACTCGTTTGCTACTCATCTCCCTGATGAAATTTTTGAGATATATATGCATTTGCTTGCTGATGACGACCAACGAGTGAGGAATGCTGCGGCAAAGCATCTTCCTTTGTTCGTTCATTAATACTCCAAACAGTAATTAATATCATGGTGTAATGAATTCTTAGGGAGTGACTGTTAACTTCGAGCAAGTGATTATTTAGAAGTAAGATAATCAACATTTTTCTTGCAGTGTTTGATGACTAAAATTGAATTTGTTTTCCAGACTAACTGAAAACGCGAACTACAGTTCAACACCGAATAACTTCACAATGGAAGAACCTGCCGATTACCTTTGCTGGGATTTTCCTAAAAATCCTCTGGTATGACCTGCAAAAATAAAAGCAAAATCAGAGCATCTTATTATTTGCAGTTTGGCGTAGAACATCTAATTGTCATTTCTCATCTTCATTCTTTCAGACTGTTGGTATGAGTCCGTATTACGATTTCTTGCAGCAACCATTTAATTTTATAACCGCGGACAATCTTTCTTTTGTACTTAGAAAGATGTTCTATATTTTAACGACAAGTGCGAACGAAAAACAGCAGGTTATTGTTTAATTAGAAATAATTTGTACATTTCCTGTTCTGATTATTTTATTTTAACATGCTCATTGCACCACTATCAGTTCTAGTGTTTGGTTAGCAGTAGTGAAGTTTATAAGTTTATTAAATAATTCGTTTGTAATATGAAGATTGCTCTGAGAACAAGTATGAATTAAGAACTATTTAGGCAGGCATTGCTGCTGGGTTGTTTCAACTGTTATGTTGTTTCAAGTCTAGACATTATGCACAAGCCTGGGGATTCGAATCGAATATTGATAGTTCAAGGACTGGTTTAATTATTGCCTTAATTTCGAAATGTAACTGTTGCTGCACAGATATGCAAACTTTCATACAGTTTCTGAATATCGCAACGCATATGACTGCAGGTAAATTGATTTTGGCAGTTTTCGAAAGTCAAAATGACTTTATAATATTTTGTTCAACTTCAATTTAACCTATGGTCTTGGAAGTTATTTGTCTGAACATTCCTACTGAATGGCTTAAGATATTCGTGAATATGATCCGTTTTAAGGCCTAATAACAGTCGATACCATGAAGGCTGCTGATAAAAGTAATGATATGGTGCCGAAATTTCCTAAATATTCTGTATATGAACAGCTTATTCTATTGCAGTTGAGGTATGCTAGTTACCTTTTTCGATGTAGGATTTTCCGTCATTGGTCTGGTGGAAAAATGCAGCGTTCTAAAACTTTGAAGTTGGTACCAAAAAAATTATTAAAAAAAAATTGGAAGCTTCAATTACCTATACACAAATGGAAATGTGATTTTTGTTTCCTGTAATGTTCGACCACTTATATCATTGCTCTTTTTAGTTTTCAGGGTTATTAATTTGTATTACTCTTTGATAATCGATCATCGGCAACAAACTGCTTGTTCTTTTTTGCGGCCTTCACCACTTTCACCCGTTCGTAAAGCACTTCCCGTTAGCACTAACAGTGTAGCATCATGGGAACAACGAATTGCTGCGATTTCATCATTTACTGGTATTGGCATCAAAATGTCTAGAAATACAAGCTTCCTGCAATCTCCTAGTCTTATTCATTTCGCTGATTCATTAAAGGGTGGTTATCTAAATTATATGGTAAGGAGCCTTTTTGTCTTTTATTTTTTGTTTCATCTTATTTATTTACTTCCTTTTGGATGGTTTATAGTATTATGAATTTCATATTTCAGAATACTTTGGCGTTTGATGCATCTGAGCGTTTCACAGCGTTGTTGATTTCAGCACTAAATTGTTTAGCTTGTACATTAGAAGTGATGCAACTCCAACAGGTTGCGGACATTCTTGAAGAGGTACGGAGATTATTTTGGTTATTATTGTAACTTGTTCAGTATTATTGATAAGAAACATGCTAAATATATTTGAAAAATAACTATCTAGGTTTTCATCCACAACAGAACATTTATTACTCGAGAACAAACGTTTATCCGAGTTAGTAATAAAAGTTTTCTGGTAAAAAGTTTTTTTACATAATTTTTCCAAATAAGAACTTGTTTCGAGCATATTTGATATCACTAAGAACTACTGACTTGAAATATTGGCTTTTTAGATTTTATTGTACTGTCAAACTGTTATCGAGGTCGTCCCAGATGGGAGTATTCGAGTTGCAATGCAGCTATTTAAAATATTATTTGGAAGTAATGTTGCAAATTTGTCTCTAGATGCATTGAGGAATTTGAAATTAAATAATGTTAGCCATCCCAAAGGTGATTTTTAGTATATTTAAATACAAAACTCAAAAATTTTCCTAGCCTTTATTTTGTGACCTACAAAATAAAACAATAATTGTATAATTCAATATTCAGTAAGAGTTTGGCCTAATTTTCATAAATCTGTTCCAATATAAATTCTGGAGCAGATTCAGTTCATGTTGAAATGCAACAGCAGTCGATCCTGTTATTTCTCATAGTTTTTGTTTCCAAATCTTCTCATATCTCACTGTATCATAGCTTACAAGGATGCTGGTTGGAAGAAATAATTGTTCCTTTTAGTCAGTGCTTTTCGAAGATATTATATGTTCTAACTCTTATTTTTTATTTTTACAGATATCTTTGAGATTTGCGTGTTGAGAAGTGCAAATTTTTTCACTGAATTTATTGTCAATACAAGTCGCATTGAATATGACGAAGTACAGCTTGCGAGGTATCTTTTATTTTCTTTCTTTCAAGGACAGAAATTCAATTAAGATTTAAATAAGTTTGCAGTAATATCTAAAAATCATTTTGCATAGGTGTGCTGGTTGGTTTCGAAAAGACCTGATTTCTAAAGATGGAATCCCAACAAGCATGGAAATTACTTCGCACGTGACTATGTTTGAGTCGTATGTATCATTGACAATTCACTTATATCAGTCAACAAATTTCGTGGATGTACAGTGCTCGGTGATTTCAACTTTTCATGAACTCTTTTTTTGATTTATTAGCTGAAAAAGAAAAGAGGATATCCATTAAAATAAAAGCTACGTGTTTCAAGAGTAAATGGTTTTTTTTAGGTATTGGATCTCTTATGTGTACTTGTTCGAGGTGGAATAAACTATTCTATGCTGGATCCGGAAACTCATTTGCTTAATTTCGTCATTGAACAAGTGAATGAGATTTGTACCGGGAATTGGTATCGTTTTAAATTTAGTGTTTTTGCTGCTAGCAAAGCAATTGGTTTTGATGCGAGACTTTTGAGATTTCTGTCGATTCCAGTTTTTATTTAAGAGTTCTTTCGAAAGTTCTTTTATTTGATTGTTGTTTAGGCCGGCTGCGTGTGCTGAGAAATTGCTAAATTCAGTATTTAATTATTTCTTGTCGCTTTCCCATACTGAAAGTCGAGGACAAGTGATCATGGGATTGGATAGAATCCACTCATTTGTGGAACTCTTAATCAAAGCTTGTAATACGCGACCATATTTGACTCCATGTGGTTTGTGTTACTTCCTTCATGAATCTAAAGTTTTTCAGATTAGACGAAAATTGAACTGACATCGTTTTTGGTTCTTTTTTGTATTCGGTCCAAATTCAAGTTCATTGCATATCATCTATCTACTAACCAACTGTAGACATCGCACCATTTATGTTGCGAACTATAAATTATTTTCAGCTTTAAACTGCCTTCAAATAGTATTGATTGATTGCGTAAGCATGCGACTTTCTTTTGATGTTACACTTCTGAAGATATTGCAAACGACTGACCAATTAGCAACAGTTTGTCCGACAAGAGTTCTTCAGCTCTGGACTCTTGTTGCTTTCAGTTCTCATATTAGCGGAGACACACAAAGGTAATAATGTTTTTCCTTTCAATCTCTTTTTTATGTACCTCTTATTTGATAGTCACTTGTAAATTATAAAGATGGCGTCGGAAACCTAATTTTCCAAATGAAAATCGTGAGTCATCTTAAATTGATTGCTGCAGTATTTTTTTACAGCTGGGCAAAAACATCTTTATCCCTATTTGAAAGCTTGCAGCAGTTACATACAGGAAATTGGGATTTTACTACTGCGTTCAATGCAATCATTTTACTGCGGTCATGTTGTGCTGCAATTACTCGACCGATGGACTCTTTTTTCAAAAAAATGATCAGCATTTTAGAAGATGTTGGTGTTTACTCACATTCAATAAATTTTCGTTTTTCGTTTTATTAAAAGTGTTAGTAAGTGAAATAATTGTTGAAATTGCAGGATTTGCACTGTTTTTCTCGACTGGTAGTCGTTCTTCCATATTTATTCATATTCCTATGCGTTTTGAAGGAAGATTCAGCTCTTACAATAATCGATCAAATATGTGACCGTGCCATTGAAAAGATTGGGCGGTTCGCCTCCTTACACTTTTTGATGTAACTAGTGTGACGCGTAGTGTTTTCCTTTTAAAAAAAATTTTGTTATTAGAAGTATTTAGTTTGCCTGTTAAATATATGTTTATTATAAAGCATATTGTTGTTCTCTTGTAGTTTGTTAATGATCTTACTTGGTCAATGTCTGGAAGCTTTACGACAAGTAACTTCTTTGGATAGTGTTAGTGAAGAAAACAGTGAAAATTTGGTGGTTTGGTATCTTTTAATTTTATCTCACGCTGTTCGTTCAGGTGAAATTTGAATTCATCTATTACTTTTAAGTAGCTGTTTGGTGATTAACGTTCCTTAAATGTAAATTCCCATGCAATAATTTCTTTTAAATATAATTCAATTTTCAATTTCTTTTCTATCATTTTTAAGGTAATATGAAATCCATCACAAATACATTTGATGCACATTTTTCAACAAATTTTGCTGATTTACAAAGTTTATCGATGTTTTATCCACGTGCTTGCGCACAACTATTTGCATTTATTGACACTGCTGGTTTTCATAGATATAAACAATTGTTTTATTCTTCTTCTTCAAAGTAAGTTATCCCAACTGCTAATTTTTTTCTTTTTAAAAATCGTTTGCATACTATTCCATGTAATTTACAGACAGTTAGGCGATTTGTGTATGATAACGCGATGTCGAACAGCAGGCCCAGATGGAGCTGCCGATATTGCACGTTTATTTGATTTTTGCTCTCCAAATATTTTGTTGACTATCGTGACACGTAGGTGGCTTGCATGTCATATAAGGTAAAGCCTGAAAAAATCAATTATTGCTTTCTTAAAAAATTTAATTACGAAATGAGGAAGTTGGAGTTATGAACAGCAGATATCAGAGACAGCATATGGTTTGAAAAAGGTCTTTGTCGTTCTTTCAAATTACAAATATAACTTGAAGAATAAAAACATGTTTGTTTTATAGTGATCTAGACAGTGAAATACAGAAAACTTTACTGGAAAGTGTTATCAATCTCAGCAAAAATTTTTGCTCTGTAAGTTTTTATAATTTCTTATGTTAATTGCATTGATTATTTAAATCTGTGATAAAGCAATTTATTATAGTGTGCTGTTGATTTGGATGTTATTGAGCTTATCGCATCTGCTAACGTCCCAGAAACATCCATCGAGTTTTTGAAAAATAAATTTGGTGAGTCTAGAGTACTGGACTGTTTGATGGTTCTTCTTCGTGATCATCAGGTAATTTTCTCAGTATATGAGAAAACACCATCAAAACTGTGCGCTTAGTATCATATGTTTTAATCACTCGACTGACCCGCAGACACGACTATACATCCGCCTGATAAATAAGGCTTAAGCTATACCCTTCAAATCTTTCCCTTTAATCTTTCTACCTGATAGTTCTCCATATCTTGAATTACTTGGTTTTTGTTAGTTATCAAGTTTTCTAGAGATTAAATATCAAGTTAAATATTCCGCTTGCATTTCTTTGGTACAGACTAGAGCGAATTTTATATTACAAAAGTGTTTTAACTTACCATATTTCCTCATGCAAGTTATCTGAAATAATTTATTTCAAATTTGCTTTCATTAATTTCAGAGTAAAAATGTTGCGTTGAAAACTTTATTGACACATTTCATGACATCGGAACAATTCGTTACTGGCTTCTTATTTAAATGGTACTGCTGATCTCATTTAGAATCCATAAATAGTTTGTTTCAAAGCCTTCCCTGCAAGCGTTAAGATAAATCATCGGGATGAATTCAGTGGTATAGCTTCAGCATACTGATCCATCTCTCTTAAATTGGTAACATCGGTTTTTTATGCCCATTGCTTATTTCAGCTCCGAAGAAACACCAAAGTTAGGTGACAAGAAGCACAATCTACGAATTGATGACCCGTCGCAGTTTACTACAGAAGTTTTTGCTAATATACTTCAACAAATTATTAGCAGAAAAAGTCAGGTTTTGAGTTATTCAACATTAACTTTTTAAGACGACAAAATTTATATGTATTCATTTCAGATTTTGATATCCAAGCGGAATTTATTTGTATCATGTTGTGCAATGTTGAAGAAAGATATGCGGAAATGATACTGCGAAATGCGGTACCAGCTTTATATGAATTCATTTTCGAGCGTTTTTTGTTAATTGTCAACCTAAGCTTTGATAAATGCATCTCTTGCCACTATAGGGAGTAAACCATAGCATTTCTTTGCAATATTTGCTAGAATTTTCGTTACGAATCAGTCACATCAAATATTATTCATGTAATTTATTTTCATATAGTATTATGTGTTATTAAGCCACATGTTACAGTACGAATGCAAGAGATACGATGTACTGTCCAGCTTTATTGATATGTTGGACCAATTTAAAATTGCTAAAGAATGTTCCGGTATGGTTACAATTATTTCAAAAATTTTCGTTTAATGCTTTAGTTACAGATATTGTGAATTACAATATGTATTTTTTTATATATCAAATAATACAAGAAATTTCTATTTGTCAGTTCGTATCATAGACTTCTGTTAGGTGTGTTAATGTTTTTCATTGTATTTTGTTTATTTAGGTGAATTATACGACGAACTCTCCACATCTTCCTTGCTGAAAATTGATGCATTATCGGCTTCATTTGTTTCACTTGCATTCGATTCAACCGTTGATTCTTCTTTGCAGCTTTTTGTTCAAAGTAGAATTGCAGATGTGCGTATTCTTTTGATTCTTTTCTTTGTTATTCATCTTGGTTTTTATTTGCAAGAATTGAATGCATTTCTACTAATTTGCTTTTTACAGAAACCTGAAAGTATCACCTATAAAAAAGCATCTGATTGGGTGACCGGAAATTTGGTATTCGACCATTGGATACAGCGCTATATCGATTCTCTTGCCGCACAGGTTATTTATCACATTTATCGCTCTTGAATATATTGAAATCTTTAGTTTTTGCTGTCAAAAATTCTGGATATTTAGAGTGGATCAAGAACATCAGAAGTAGCCTGTGCAGTTGCTTTTGGAATTACTAGGCACTCCTTTCGTGCAACAATTGACCAAGCTCAAAACTCGAAGAAAATTGTAGAGCAGCAGCTGTCTTTGGCTGTTAGCGTCTCTCGGTCAGATTCGATTTTTTTTTTCGTCATTTTCCTTTTCTTAAGTTTTAAAAAGGATTATGCGGTAGTAGTTAAGGAGCTTTATTTGTAGATTGGTTCAATACGTTTTTGAACAGTGTAATATTTCGCCTTACCAGGGATTGCAAAAATTGAGTGATCCTTTTTGGAATATGAAAATAATCGATCGGACTGGAAAGAAAGATTTTGATATAGGTAAAGTTTTTCGAACAAAAATATGCTTTGTTCTGTCATTTTAAAGTTGACTTTTATATAACATTACTGTTTATGTAGGAAGTTGGCGATTGTTGATTTAATTTTTGTCTTCCGGAGCCAAGTTGAAAAAGTCACATTAAAGTTGGAATGTTTCTTAGTGTTGCAGGTTTTTTTTCTGATGCTATACGAACTGCCTTTGATGTAACACAAAAGATTCAAGAAATTTTTCGTAAGAAACATCGTAAAACTCGCTTGTACTGTCAGTTGGAAAGGCTAGCAAAGGGTTAGTTTATGGCTTACTTTTTTCGATATTTCGGAATCATCAGTCCACTCTGGAATCGGTTACTATTACAGAATGATTGATTTATGGTTTGACATCTTGAGCTTTATTTACATTTTTTGTACCCTTTTTTTACTGAGGGCTCAATAATATGCTAGGAGTGTAAAAGCCTAACCTATGCCAGTAGAATAGGTCAGGGTAGAACATCTCTATAAATAATGGATCCATCTATGATGGAATCTTTTTTTCAAGTATTCAAATTTTTCAGCCGTGTCAAGATTACCATTTTTGAATGATATTTCATGTATACCACGATCAGCAATTTTGTAAGTATTTCATATTCTTTTTTTAGTCCTATCAAATTCATATTTTCGCTTTGCAATAGTATGGATATTTTGAGGTGTGGTTGGAAACCAGAACCAGAAATTCATCCTGCATCGATTTCGATACCGACAGTGAATATTCATTACCTTGGGAATGTAGATATTTTGCAAGATTTTGTGTGGCGAATTTTATGGGCTGGATGGAATCGCCGCTCAAATTTTGATAATTTTTCTATGTCTTTGTTTGGTGTAATTTCGTCGACTCCGTCTGGCTCTGAACTTGCAAATGCTAATATGGTACTTCTTGCTGTTACTATATTTTCTCTGGTCTTATGATTTGCTACTGATTTTATGAATTGATGCATTTATTCGAAAAGTTTGTCAAGTTACCTTAAACATCATATTTTCCAGAATATGACAGAGCAGCTTATGGCTAGCACCATCGCTATTGAAGGCTTAACGAACCTATTACTCGAAACATTGTTATATCCGGAAAGAGGTGATCCAACTACAGGAAGGTTCATTGTGAAACCGCGTGATGTGTCGTCAGATTTTCTTTCATCATCGTGAGCTGTTCTTGGATAATTTTGATTAGCGATTTTACTCTAAAAACTTGCCTGAAATGTTCGCTCTTTTCTTTTAACTTCAATATTTCTTGAAGATTAAATTATTCTTGAAGATATGGACAACGTTTAACTATGCTTCAAGCGAAACTGTTGGGTGCTGCCACAGCAGATTCCATACATAAGAAAAACTTAGAAACTCTAAATGATCGAGGGAAAAAGTATCGGCCAGGACAATTTTCCGTACTTACATCGTGGAATATGGCTGGTGTTCTGGATCAAGAGCGCAATTTATACAGTGATATCATGCAGATCAGTAGTCAGTCGAAAGAAGTGCGCTTTTATGTCAGTTTGTGCATATTTTAAGGATATCAGAAATTTTTCTTCTAAAATATGAAGCCAAGTGCGGTGATTCTCACAAAAATTGGCTCTAATCGCTTATTTATTTGCCTGAAATATTTGCGAAGTTAAACTCATCTTTCAAATAATGTAACGAAACTTTTTATCAGTTTAATTCTAAGATGAAAAGATTACGAAACATTGCAGCGGTTGCCTTCATCAGACAGCAGCTATTTATTGAACAGTGGCCATGATACTACATACGAATCATGTTTGCGGATGCTTTTTGATACTTATTCACACTGGTTTCGTACTGGTATAGATGCTGTTCCATTACCTCTCCTATCAGCAACTCTTAAGTCGGTAGAGCTTTAAATATAACTGATAATGATATTGTAAAATATCTTGATGCCTTAAAACTAAAAACCACAATTGCATATTATATGAATATGAATACATCGAACTGAATATGAATACATCCAATTTTCGTATCCTGGTGAGTTGGATGTATTATATGAATACATCCAACTCACCAGGATACGAAAATTATGTACAAACAAGCTTTTAAAAATCTCTTTTATAGATGTCTTTGTTGTCTGATTTGTTTACGGAAATGGATCAGTATCGTTTTGTGTTTGGACATATGAAAACATTATTTTCTATTCGTTCATATCTAGATAATGTAGACATTGGCAATATTATTTATTCACTACTGAAATGCGTTTCGATTCTTGGCATTGTAAGTTTTCCTATCATTATATATTTTAACATGATTTGTGGCTACTTTAATACTCTATCCGAAGTATTTATAGCAGTTAATTTCTTTTACTTTCAAAATGTTTCGATGATAAATATCGATTTGAGTAGGCAGTGAAATGCGTAAATGCATGCAGCAAATACTTAACATGAAGCAAAATGCATTAACGAACTAAATGAAATTCAAGCAACAAACTTGTCTTTTGTGTTGGGTGTTCTTGATCGTTTAAAGAGTTATTTTGATCATCAGTTCTTGCAGGAAGATTCGTTTGTATCCAAGATTGATGCACAAAAAATAGTTCTAACATGGGTTGAAACTGGCCTTACTTCGGAATTTACTGAAATTCGGATCAGAACTCTTCAAGGATGTCTCTTTCTACTACAAGCAATTTGTTTCGATGAATTAAAGACTGTATTTCTTTTCCTGGAATCATTTCTGATGAATTATTCGCAGATGAGGTAAATGATTTGATTAATGCCTACAAAATCTAGAAATTGAACTTTTCAAAGATTGGCCCAGAAAAAATCTTTATCTAATTCTTTTTTTGTGCTAATTTTACTTTTTTATTGGTGGTGAGTGAAGTATAAAAAGAGGCGTACTGTAGAATCTACCATTCAATACTGGTGATAGAATTAAAGTCTTTAGGTTTAGTGCTTATAAAACTGTTAATTAGTTGTGCATTTTTGAAGTGATTGCGGACTATATGAATATGAAACGACATTATGGACTGTAAGATTTTTCTTTTTCGACAACCCTTCTTATTGTTCAGATAATTCACGGACCGCATTTATCAATGTAAGTTACATTTAGTATGTGGAGATGTTTTCTACTAAGAACTTCATGGAAACTTTGATAGTATTTTGGAAATCTTTCAGGTCGGAAATTACTGAAATGTGTTCTTTTTTATATTTGTATTTATAGTACTGCAGCTGGGAAGCTGATCAAGTATTTTGTTTTCTTCAGATGATATGTGAAAAGTTTGTCGCACTTGCAACCCCTAGTTGGTTAATGAATTTAATATGTGTGGGTATTGAAAAACTAATTGTTGGTTCTCGAATATATGTGCTTACCTTCAGTCGTATTGCCGTTCGTCAGTTTATGCTCTTGTTTCTTTTATGGATTTGTTGGTTTAGTCTCCAAATTAAAGGTTCTATGGTATGAGTATTTTTTCGATTTATATCCATAAAATTATTACTATTATTTTTAGAAGCACTGGAAAATTATTTCTATGCACCACAAAAATTTTTGTACGCACTTCGCATCTTCATTGCATGCTTATATCGAGGCTTAGAAGAAGGAAGAGTACAACATTTGGGCACTCAGCCGTATGATCCACATATTCATCTTATGGAACAACATGCAATGATATTCAAGATGTGAGTTTTAGGGCTGTGATGCTTTTTACCATCAGACGATTTACTAATGCAAAAACCTAAAGACTGTAAAAATTAACGTCTGTTTTTCAAAACTCTTTGCTCACTTGAATTTTTGGGAATCTTTTTTTCACCAATTTCAGTGTCACTCTGGCTGCTGTTTTTCAGACTGGCAGAAGGTGCCGAGGATGATGCATCACAGTTAATAAAGGTATTGCCGTATTTATTAATAGATTCGTTGAATCAAAGTGAGCTTATAAACAGCATTCTGAAAGAACTAATCCACCGATATACCAGTCTCCCTCATCCACGTTCTGCTGCCATTTTTAGGATTATTCATCATGTAAGTCATTTACCTTTTTTCTGGTATATACGTACTGATTTTTATGATAAAATAAAGTGATATAAAATAATAAAAGGCTTTTCCTGCCACTTAAATTTATCCCATTTTGAAATTTCAATGAGAGCTTGACTTGAATTTTGAACTATCGGAAATTTTGTTCCTTTACTTGTTGAATTATAAACTTTGCAGTGGTTTATCGTGCTTCATAGGCGTGAAACTGAGAGTGTTGTATTGGAATGGACTTTAAATGGTTTAGATTCTTTCAAGTACGTAACCGATCCTACATTATTCCGATTTTACGTCAGTGCATTTCTGTGTTCATCATCACCAAATCCGTGCATCGCCAATTTGTAAGCATTCTCTTCATTTTCAGTTATCTTATATCTTATACATTCTCATATGGGTTGATTTCTTTTTTCATATTTTAATAGTTTTTTACATAACAGTATTTTCTGGTTCAAATCATTTAGTTTAAATGAAAGGATTTCGTGTTTTTTTTTGTTTTCCGTTTTATTATGATATAATTATTTGATGTTGTATTAGCAAAAGAGTTCAGTCGAGGTTGGGCTTGACATATTTCTGGAAACTTTAAGCCAAAACTGAGGAAACATGTATTTCCAAGTTTTTTGGATATATATATATATATATATGAAGGCGACAGTGTGTACAAGCTTGCATCTTTATTTGATAAAAAAGTTTCGAATAGTTGAGCCAGGAATTTCCATAAATATGCAAGTTTCACTTTCTTCAAGTAGCAAGACTCCCGAAGTTTCGTTTGCAGAAAAACATAATTTCAAAGACTTATAGGTTTTATCTTGTCATTGGACGTACATCAAATTTAGCGTGGTCTGATGATTTCTTGTTTGAATTTTCAGTGCGATCTTTGCTTTTAAGGGTTTGTTTGCTTTTTAAACTTTTTTTTAAACATATGTTTTAAATTATTGACAATTTTCTGAGTCTGTGGTATTCCAACTGGTTCTCTTTTTTTCTATATTTTGAAGTTTGGTATTTAAGAGAGTTCCAAGTTTTGAAAGCCGGTTTTGAAAGTAGTTGTTGGGAAGGTATTCATTGAAGTATTGTTAACTTTACTTTAGTTTTGGATCAGATATTTTTTCTATAATTATCCTTGCAGATGAAGAAAGATGCAAGAAATGAGTTAAAATTATCAATGGAGAAGTTTGTATTAAATGGAAAAACATGCCGAGACCCGCGAAGAATAGCCTTTTTTCCACAACTGTAATTCATTTTTTTACGATATGTAAACTCAGGTTTGGGTCTTTGAACCTCTGAATACTTTCTTTGTTACCGACAAGGAAGAAGTTTATCGGTGATACCACTTTATTGATTTTGCACCTCTGACGTTTCTAACAAGGTGCACTGCTCCGTATCTTGAATCTGTTTGTACCGTTTAACGATTTTTTAATTTCATGCACTGCTAATTAATTCATTTTCATTATGTCATGTCGACATGATTTTATAATGTATCATTTAAAATGCCCTATACCTGACTTGATTATAGGAGTTTTTTCGGTTCTGTTTAATGAGAGACATACCATTTGTTATGGTTATGATATTGTTTTGTTACTATGAATTGCAAAAGCACTCAATTGTACAGTATTCGAATATAAATTGATTTATACAAAATAAGCAAGTTTTCCGGCCTTTCTCTGCAAAATGTTGAAAGCGTGAAAAATTTATTAAGCAACATCACAACAATAACCCGAATGAAACCGTGTCGCCTAGAGTGATGCAAGCCTAAGCCTCCATAATTTTGCAACAAGTAGAATGCTTATTATTCCATTATGGCTCACTATTACAGTTTCTAGATGCTGTCCCTCGGGCATTTCTTTTCCGAGGATTTCGTCTGTACTTTTTCATTCCGTATCTGTATATTGTATTTGCAGGTCACGTCGTTTAGGGACTTAAGAAAGTTCCTTTTCAATAGGGAAGGATCCGAGAGGCGCTTCAATATGTACATATGATTCAATATTATTTCGATGTGCTAAACAAGATGTGTCGGTCAAACAGAGAGGACAGTGACTTATTTCATAATTTGAGTATGGATTCATACCGGACTTGGTGATGACCTCATATGGGAAGGTTATGGAAAGTGACAGTTGCGCTTTTAGGAAATGGTGCTTTTATAGAAGTTAGTAAGTTGAAATAACCAGGTGAAGAAGTGTACATATAAGTGAAGCCATCCATTCAACTAGCCGTTTGTCCATTTCACGCTAATAGGTTGATCACCAGCAAGGGTGGTAGCGATGTTTTTTTCTCCGAGAAATTCACATATGAAAAAGGGAGAGGTCTGGGAGAACGCGGAATATGAGTTACATGCCTCCAGTTTAGTTGATTTTTGATGTCTTATGAAGTATATGCGAGAGAAAAGTTTAGAGTGGGTGGGGAAGTGGTTGATCGTTATACGTTTGCAGCAGTTGGCAGAGGAAGCGTTATTGATTGTACCGACTGGCGTTTGTTGAAGCTTTCGGGATGGGAGTGAAGTGTTATTGCAACACTGCCGGCGATGACATAGGCAAAGCTGGGTGTACGTTGTGACAGACATACACTCACAGGGATGAGAAGAGAGGGAGGGAGACATTAGCAAACGTTCCAATACACATTGTGTCTGACAGGGACATACACTCTCGCACACGCACACGATCTCTTCAGAACGTTCGTCTTTTGTGATACGTAACTTCAGGACGTAATCACTGCAGTCTTGGAGGTTGTTGGTCGTGAAACGTTCGACTACTTAAATGGCACAACGTAAGTTTATCCTTATCCAAAACTATTTCTTTATAATCTGTATGTGGTAGCAAATGACAACAATACAGATTTTCAAGCAAATCGTAATCGTAGTTTGTTGTATCTTTTATAAAAGCGGTATTAATGGAAGATAGAATGAGGGTGGATATTGATCCTAGTCTTTCTTTTGTATTCACAGCATGTTTCCTGATTATTATTTATGTAATTTTGATCGATGTATAAAGTTAAAGTTACTGGTTTTGACCTCTATTGATAGTTCATGTTGACTCATAATGGCAGATGGAAATACTTATCTCCATGTTGCCCGACGAGTTTTTTTGATATGTTGAAGTCTTGTTAGGCTCTGTTAGGCTTTTTACTATATTCGGTGACATCGTTAAAGCAAATTAAAAAAAAACATCTAATATTCCGTTGGGGCATTATTTTAATGCAGATTAACAGTTCGCATATACGAAGTCGCCTTACATATTTTCCTTTGTTATGATATATGTTGCAGTGCTCTGTCAAGTTTTGTTGGGAGAACATTCGTTATTATAAAATTAAAATTCGTTTTAAGAGAAATTTTTGTAGAACCTTCGAAACTTCATAATATGAAGCATATAACTATAAAGAGGTAGGAAAAAAATCATGTGATGGAGACGTATCGGAGTTCGGAAAAAAAAAACCTAATATTACAGTACTGTCGTAAATACTCGGAAGTTTTATATGTGTTTAACCTATGCGTTTAGTTCTCTGAGGGATTTATTTTTTACCCACTTCCTTGTTTCACAGAACCCTGTAATAATTTTACGAGCTAGGACGTAGGATGGCTGTAAATCGAGATACTATTCTATGATTTTAATTATTTTGTAGAGTACTGCCAATACTAACATACAATTAAAGTACTTCCCAGAACAACTGCTTTCCTAGATAAATAACTTCATTTCATTTCTTTCTGTAATTGAATATTTAATTCATTTATTTCAGGCCGAAAAGTTCCTGAAGGTGAACTGTGTGCAGTCTGTTCAGATCTCGCAACAGGTTACCATTACGGTGTGGCGAGCTGCAATGGATGGTTAGCGTTTCTGTAATGTTTTTGTTGGGAGTTTTACCTGCAGGATTTTCACGACTTTTTTGGTGCCGTTTGAATAGAGTATGTTTTTCATGTACACATAGATTATCTTTGCTTTGGTTGCATAGCAGAAGCTAAGGAATGGAAGAGTCTTTTTAATGTTTTCTATGATTTTTCTTTGAAAATCACATATATTTACTTCAGCAAAACATTCTTTCGTCGCACCATTGTATCAGAGCACACATTTGTCTGCCAATATCAGGGTAACTGTGATGTTAACAAAAGTAAGTTATTATATATGTAAAAGAATAAAGTTATACATTCTACTTTACAGAGTGTCTATTATTAGCTCCCATTAATGAAGTGTTAAAGTTTTTTTAATCATAGATTACAATTATTGGCATCAAGATTTTATTAAAGTTTTACTGATTAAGCTGATTAATGTAAATTCTGTAGACATCCGCTGTGCTTGTCGGCATTGCCGTTTCAACAAATGCGTTGCTGTAGGAATGGATGCTAAAGGTTTGTCGTTTACACTCTTAATCATTTCTTATCATTGAATGTGTGAGATTTTATTAGATCATCATGAAAATTGGTATAATCATGCAGCAGGTGCTTTAGAACAGCTCTAAGCGGCGTTTTTTTTTCTTTCTCTTTCTTTTTCTTAAATAAATCGAAAGTTTTTATTCATTTTAAATCAACTCGTATTTTTCGTTTATTGAAATCTTTTTTAGCGATCCAGAATGATCGTGATCGCATCGGACCAACCAAGAAAATGAAAATGAATAGCCAAAATTCTGAAGATGATTGTGCGATTCATATTCGTTCCGCAGAAGAAAGGGTAAAACATGCTCGTATATTATCATTGATATTTCGCTTTATGATTATATTCTTCGCGTTTCAGATTTAATGAATAGTTGGTGTGTAATTATTATCAACAGAACTGCAAAAATTGATGGATCATTTTTGCAGCTGATAGAGCGTTTGTTGGCGATTGAAAAATTGTGTATGAGATTACGGCAATGTGTACTTCCTGAAATCAGTGGGCTTAAAGAAGCTGTTTGTGAACCTTCACTTGTTAACGAAGTTAATAACCTCAAAATAGATGTTAGTTTTCATAAATCAGTCAGGATCTCATTTGATTTTGACTTTTTGCGGTAGATGAGTGTTTGTTTGAATTGTGCTTCAAAATAGTTGCTTACACTATCTGTAAAAATTTTTTTCACTTATCCAGCCATATACAAATGCAAAGGAATTGTACATTGCGACATTAAAAGACATACAAATGTGGAATAAACGAGAAATGCGAGTTGGTTTAGAATGGGCAAAAACCTTCGATTTATTTAATCAACTGTCTTTGGATGATCGGGTAAGTTTACTTTTCCGATTTTTCTGGATTACTTTTCATTGTTACCAGGGTTCTGTGATCGTAATTTATCTTGTTTTACAGCGAAAAAAAAGAAACGTTATTCTATATATCATGTAATCACTGCAGATTGCATTGATAAAGAACTTCGGATTTACTTTCAATCTTTTAAATCGAAATTATTATGCACCTGACCATGGTACTGATAAATTGGTGTTGCCTAATGGTGCCTATATTCGACGTCAAGTTCAAAATGAAGTTAAGTTGCCTGGTTGTAGGTAAGTTTGCATTTCATGTTCGATTCACTTTGTTTAATCCCGTATTGTTGATTAAATCATCTGCGAATGCTACTGATTACTTTTTTTACAAATTATGGATTTCTAAACGATTTCATAGATTGCATTATAGGTCAATTTATCATCGACAAATGGATGAAATTATGATTCCATTTAGACAACTGAAAATCACCATGCCCGAATTTGCGCTGTTCAAAGCTAGCGTTTTCTTTAACCCTGGTTTGCTTCAATAATTTATTAAAATGCCATAAATATTTTATAATTTTAGACCCATTTGATTAAATTTTCAGATGCAATTAATCTTTCGCCTATAGCAAAGTCCCAAATTTATGCTGAAAGGTCAAAATATTTGTCAGCATTATTTTATTTGATAACTTCGAAATGTGGAATAACTATGGGTGCACAAAAGTACGGCAGTTTGCTTATGATGGCTTCTTCAGTGCAGGTAGGTGTCTCTGTGTAATGTTTTCTACAGCTAACTAGTTGGCCATTGTTATTTTCGACAGGAGATATATGTATTAATTAAAATTATGTTTTAGAACATAATTGCTCAAAATGAGGAAAATATGCAAGTTATGGATTTCTTTGAAGAAAACTGGAAAATGGATAATTTTGTAAAAGAAGTATGTTTGAAAGATCCATGAAAACCGAAATTAAGAAGATTGGGATGTATATACATTTATAGCGGTTTATTCGAGTTCTTAGTGGTGTACTTATTAAAATTTTTTTTTGACATGTTGTATTTGTTGGTTTTACACATCGATTTTCAAAAGTTATGTATTAATACTCCTTCAACAAATGACCTGCCCATTAATGCCATATAACTTCCTTTGGAAGAGATTGTGCTGTTTTTTCTCTTTTTTTGTCTTCATTTAGAGCTACTGAAAATATTTTAATAGCCGTGCCAAGACATTATTTGGCATAGGTATGTAATTATTTTTTGAATGTGATACAATTGTTTGTTTCTTGTTACTTGCTAAATTATTTGATTATTTTTATGGTGACGTGCTAATATGTGTAGGAATTAATCAGGAAGTTTCGGTGAATTTTTTTCTCTTCCTTGGATATGTCCCATGGTGAAATATGAAAAATATAGATTTTTGGAAATCTCGTCGTCGGGTAAATGGTCTGAACAAAATGTAAAACGTAAAATCAATATGATACATGGCATTAAATGTGGAACTAGCTGCGTAATGAAGTTTTTCCTCTATTTTAGTTAGTATTTACATCCTTCTGCATAAATTGTTTGTATGGGCTTGTTGTATGCTGTACATAGTAAATGTAGTGATAAAAACAGGGTCAACCCATATAGATGGCTGATTGTTATTGCATTTCTTTCCTGGTGTTTATTTGTTAGGAAGGAAATATTATCCTGGAAAATAAAATTTTCATTTATGTGAGAAGATGAATGTGAATTCTGAACGATAAAGGTTGATTCCACACTGCGGGGTGTTAATAAGCAGATTGAACCACCTTTTTTTTTTCTTTGGGTTCGGAAAGAAACCGGCAGAAAATGGCGCGTTTGTTTTCCAAATTATATGACAAGTTTGGTGACTTGAAAAATGGTGGGAGTTTGATGAGTCGAGTTTAGTTTTTCCACTTTCTGCTAAAAATTCCAGCGGGGAGTTTGAAAATGCTCCATCTCTTTCTCTTTTTTATGCTTTAAGGACATGTCTATCGCGTCTAATTCATTCATAAAAGCCGTAGATTGCCGAGCAGTGCAGAAAAATGGGATTCCAACTGTACCTATTCTAACAAAACTGGCAAAATGTTGTAACGGACACAAAATGAAGACTAGCCTAATTAATATAAAATTAAACCAAGTGATGGTGAATAGCATGACTTATTGGATTACGATAAGTTGGGACACGGCATATTGTTCTTTAGAGGTTGACTGTCAAGATTTGACATCATGATATCTCTTTCGAATATCGATATTCGGCTGTTCTTCCAGGCTGTTTACAGGATATACTGAATGTACGGATGATTTTAGTGTGATGAGATTTGTAAGAAAGAATAATGATAAATAAAGATAAAAATATAAATATTACGAATACATTATTGACATTTTCACTCATATTCGCCTTCTCTCCCTTCTTTACAATATGTCGAATTCCTTTTTCTTGTCAAATTTGTTCTCCTAATGACGAAAAGTGATCGTACTACAATGTTCACCTCGTTACCAATGGTTGACTTTTAATGTGTTAGGTTCTAGTCCTTAAACAGTTGTTATTTGCATTTCTAGTTATCATATTGTGCTGATCAACAGCCATCACTGGTTACACATTTTACACGAAGTTTCGTTAGTGGAAGGAGCTTTTTAGAGATCCTGATTTTATCGTCTATTTGACCTTTATTTATTTATTATTATTTATCAGTGCGTTTAATTCTTCATATTTTTGTCTCATTTTTGGATTAATTAATTGTGATGACAGGAATGCAAATTTGTACGGACCACTTAAATACGGATTTTTTTTTTCAGACGTGTAAATGCAGTAGATTAACAAAATCGATTACTAAAGGAAGTTATCGTTTGGCTATCACTTGTTCATTTCGTTTATCCAGTCGAAGTAAATGTGAAATATTAAACGCATTTTATTTGCATCATGGTCAGTGAACTAAAAAATAGTATGGTGGACTGGCTCGAAATTGTTGACAAGGCAGGCGGAGAAGCTGCATGGGTTACCCAGCAAAAAAACTTCCCAAAGAGAACTGGCAGACTACAAAAACCAAAAAATTCGGATGAAATAATAGAAATGATTTTAAAAACGGAATCCATACAGGTCAATTTTTATGGCCGAAGCCTTTAGTAAATTTAGTTATCGCCTCATTCAACCTAATCGTGTTCAGGAAACCTGTCTTACTAAGGTTCATCCGTTATCAAGACGGCGGATCAAATACAGTTTAACTTGTTTAATGAGCCGAAGTCATTCATCTATCGAATATTCAGAAGGTTATAAGAGAGGAATGTGCAAAACGGAATACTACAAGAAAACTGTTATCTGATGAAGCAAGGCTAATATTACGCAACATAACGCATCAAATGCAGTTGTTAGTTATACGATCAGTTGGCTATGTGATTGCAAAGACAATCAGGGTATACTGTTCCTTGAAATTGATTTTGCAGTTTAATGTTGACAGATTAATATGAGACTTCTCCATTATTTTCTCTCGAAAAACAATAGATAATGAATGTGAATTTTGGTCACCTACCTAAGGCTTGTATTTATTTGTAGGATACCTACCTAAGGCTTGTATTTATTTGTCGTGATAGTCAAGTCAACAACCGTCTTACTAGATGGTTGTTGATTTGTCTATCACGTGATTCAATTAATTTTTATCAATCTTCAACATTAGATGGTTTTAGTTTATACACTTTATAAATAATTTTAACCTTATTGAAGATAATATACAGTGGCGTTTATTTCAATGATGAACAGTTATTGCGAATACGGGAATATTCTACGACTGATCCCATTATTTTCATGCCAACACACAGGGTATTGGATCTTTTCAAATCTACTTGAAATTTTTTTAGTTCATTTTCATACTTATCGATTTTCAGAACATTCTTGCATGACATCTTTTGCAGAGTTATATGGATTTTTTGATTGTTTCTCTTCTTTGCTTCAATCATAATTTGTCTCCACCAGCTGTTGCTACTGGTATGGATTTTATGGCTTCAAGATTTTTGGGTGAGACTTTGCGGCGCTGTGGATCTTTTTTTATGAAGCGACAATTTGGAAAGGTTGCATACCTTTATTTTGTGTGAAAATGCAAAGTATTAGATTTTTTGCGGAGTCCATCAACAAATTCATTAATAAATGGCAAATTTGTTTTTGTTTTTGAAAGCTGTTGTATTGTTGCAGGACAAACTCTATTGGTCACTATTTAGTAGTTATGTGCAAATGCAACTACGCGAAACTGATAATCCGGTTGAATTTTTCTTAGAAGGTACTCGTAGTAGATCAGGCAAAAGTCTTTATCCAAAATTTGGTTTGCTACAAATGTGCATGGAACCATTCTTTCGGTGTCAGTTATATGATTTGGTTGGTTTTAATTTTCTTTCCGAAAGAGAATTCTTAATCATTGCGATTATTTTTAGTACAAATGTTTTCCATGGATTTGCAAATATCTATGTTGTGGTTTTAAAAATTTTTTCCTGGAAGTCATTTCCTTTAATTGGTTGTTCAGATTGTTGTTCCAGTTACCATCGATTATGATAAGGTTTTGGAAGAATTTCTGTATGCTTATGAACTTTTTGGGTTTCCGAAACCACAAGAGACGACAACGGGTAAATTTCATAGTTGGAATATTGATCATTTTTCAAGTATATCAAAAGTTATTTATTAATTTGTAGAGCTTTTCAAATCACGGGAAATTCTCAGCAAACGTTTTGGTCATATTTATGTGAATTTTGGTGAACCAATCTCTGTACGAAAATACTTCAATGGGAGGATAAACCGCTGGTATCCACCTTGGCAGGTATAACTGTAGATATGTTGACACTTTCTCCAAGTAATTAAATGCTGTATTCTGTGTGAAATATATATATCCAAAAAGACATTTATAAAAATGAAAGCTGATCAATCTTTGCCTTTAAAAGTTATGCAATCATGTGTTATAAATTGAACATCTTTCGAATAATTTATGTAGTTTAAATTAGCCTTATCTATAGAGTAAGCATTGTTATAGGTTTGATAATTTAGATTTGCTAAATCTTAGCACATTTTGGAACTTATCACATCAAAATCTACAACTTTGCTTATGGTTGAGCATTCTGCTAGCATTCTAATAATTATTCTCATTATATCACCTTTATCACTTGCTTTGTAACTTGGTCAAAATTATATTATATACCAATCCTCACAGGTCATTGTGGACAATAAATTGTCAGATAAGGAAAAAGAGGCAGTTAAGGACTTCGCGCTCCATGTAATACACCTACACAATTCAAATAGTACAATAACTATTTGGCCTTACACGTGTGCTATCTTATTACAGGTATTTTTTAGATTCTTTGTATATTTCCAGTGCTTGAGTTTTATTTGCAGGCTAGACTTTCGATAATTGGGTATGTTTCTTATCTTTAGCTGATCGATGGCTTCCATTCAATATTTTACTTTCAGATGAAGAGCACTAACCACCAGAAGTTAATATTTAGTAAGCTACAAACTTCTTTGGAATACTTCGTTGCACTGATTACAAGAATGGGACGTCGAGTTATAGTCAGAAGCAGCATTACGGATGATTTGAGGTTTTTAGTCTGTGTAACCGTTGTTCATAATGTTAGACTGATTGAGTTAAAACAGCTCATTTGTAGAGAAAGTACCGAGTTTCGCTTTGAACATGCATGCATAACTGATATTCTATAGTAAATGATAGGTGAAAATAATTTCCATCTCGTAGTGTGAATTAAATTAAATTTAAAATTATGAAATAAAAAGCTCTTTTACAGATATCATTTGAAGTTGCATTCCGATCTGTTTGAATGTGACACTTTGTTTCCTAATTCACTAATAAAACTGAGGCGATTCAAATGCGCCGAAAATAATGGTTCAAAGAAGAACTACATGGAAGAAATGTTGTGCGAAGTGGTTCTGTCACATTATGCTAATCAAGTAAGCTACTGCGACTGAGTTAAGTTGGCTGCTTCAAGCGTGTGAAATATACATAAAAACTGGTGAAGGATGCTGTGCTGAAAAAGGAAGTTTCTGATGCTGTGGTTGAATTTTTGTCCTTGAAAGATGTATTTTGTTGAATAAGGATTTATCCATTGAACATTTGTTCACATTTTGACCAAATCTTTTATTGGATAATGTCGATGAAGTTTGTTGCTGTGAGGAAAAACTCTTAATTATTTGAACTAAAGGATAATAACAAACACATCAAAATTTAGTGTTTTGAAGTGTTTACGCTATCATTTCATAATTGATATTTGATTTTTTCCAGATGAGAAGTGATGAGACATAAATCAAAATTAAACAGTGCTCCCTTACACTGAAATTTCCATTATAAAATAATGGAAATTTCATTGCAAGGGAACATTGTTTAACTTTGTCATCTGTTAAATAAATTAAACCAGTAAGCTGACTTATGAAGAAGTCCATATAAGCAGCATAATAAAAATTTTAATTTTGCAAGATATCAGTATCAGTACTTATCATAAGAAGCAGTGCAAATTTCCAGATTTGGCTTGCTCACACACTGGAATGGCTATCCCTTTTGCTGACTGCAGTGTATTATGTAAAGCATCAGTTGAAATTCTAATTGAATGATCTTTTTCAAACTTTGTTAATGATTACAACTACTTTGTATTGTTTACTTTTTTTATAGATGATGCATGATTTTGTCGATGTAAGCCTGTTATGCCATGTGTTGTTGTCCAATCAATTGCCATCAAGATCAAATCACATATTCCGGTATTAATACTTGATAGTGCATTTGTATTAAGTAGCGAACGAGAAAAAATTATGAGAGAAATAAAAAAAAATCTGGAAATCTCATGTTTCTTTCGACCAAAGTAGGGATCAGCGTCATTGCCTTCATGTCTCACATACTCCGATTCATTCTTATCTTCTTTACTTTTCAGAGAACTTAGATCGTTATTTGTTTACGAATTCGTTTGTTCATTGCAAGAGGAAGAGATTGATAAGTTGTTCATGGAGAGTCTCAGTTGTTTGTTGCGAATTTCAGCCATTTCACTGAATAATGGTTGTATTATTGTAGAAGATGAGCAGATATTAAAACAGATTGCTTTCCTTATGCAGGTAAAGACTACAAAAATTGAAGCTGAAGATAGGCTTAGACTTCATCAATCAGAATTTTAACGGATACTTCTAATGGCAGTTTGTCCATTATTTGTCTGATTTTATTTTATTTTATATTACATTTTATTGCTCTGCGCTTTACATATTACACTAAAAAATTATAAACAATACTTTTTTCAGCCATTCATTACCAGGTATTATTGTGTAATGCAGTCTTTGGTACAGCTGGTGGGTATTCATTTTACAGATGATGTGCTTTTCAAAAAATCGTTACAGCTTGCTGTAAATCTATATGCTAAACAGCAAGAGAACAACACGCTCCAGTCAATCTGTATCACATCGGATGTAACTCGGAATGCATTATCAGCATTCTGCAGGTTCCAGACTACTTGCAGATGTGTAAGTTTACTAATGAAGCAGTTATGAAGATCGCTTCCATAAATTTAGGTTCTATTTCTACTAACCGTCTTGCAAGCATTCAATATAAGTGAGAAAAATTCAAACTGCTATATTGATACAATTCGTCTAGTTTATTTATGGTTAGTTTAAACACTGTTGCTGGAAAAATTCGTAGATAGTATATAATGACACAGAGAAATGAAGGGAAGAATTTCCAGAGTGAAAAGGAATATACTGTTAACGTTTATCGCTTGCAAAGAATGATGGAACTTCTGGAAAGCATCACAATGGCCGATCTTCCTTTTGATAATCACTCGCTTGTTTCAAAAATCTAATTTGCGAATAAAAATATTGAAGCATGGTGTCAGTGGCCAGTACAGCTAGATATTTTAAGGGCTTAAAGTAATTGTTTTTTGTTTTATTACTGCCATCATCAATTTTTCGTCGCCATCTGTCTGCAGTGAAATACTTATCACTTCATTTCCTTTTCGGTACACAGAATGTGTAATGCCTCATTCTGATTGTTTCCCACTTTGTCAGATGTTTTGGATGACTGTTCAAAATCACCTAGCCAACGTATGTGTGGGCTCGCTCAGCCTACTGGATCTATACTTGGGTCTGGTAAATATTTGTTTAAATACTCAGATCCTTCAGTGTCGAGTTCACCAATTTCATTTTTAGCGACTCATGACCTCATAATGCGACGCGGGACAGAATTTTTCAGGGCGGCTTCGTATAAACCGCAAAAAAGATCTGTCCAAATTAGGTATTCTGTTAGAAAGCGAAATAGCCCGTGGCAGACAGGAAGGGCAGTCAGACAGTGCTTGCGGTTTATTTGAATTGCGTTGTGTGAATCGTGGCGGGCATTTTCAAATTTTCGAACATTGGAGTTGGTCGGGCGCTCTTCGTTCTTGTTTTTGACTTGGTAGGCTTTATATTAAATGATAGATATTGCTGTGTAACTGTCGAGTACTACGACAAGTCCCAAATTTAGGAAGTCAATGAAGTCAAATTAAAATTATCCGGGATTACTCCTTTTACAAAGTACTAAAAGAAATTCTCAATAGCTTATATGAATTGACAAGAAATTTTCATCAGCACATATAACTTAACATGAATCAAGGAAGAATCTTAAATGTTGTCTGGTCAAGTGACATATACTTCTCATTGCAGCTGCTGAAATGGTACGAACCAAAGCGGATGTGAAGAAATATGATTTATCTTCTAATTCCTTGAAGAGTAATTCAACTGCTGAAGGTATTTTCCTACAGTAGAATTATTAGTATGACTGAAACTGTTGTAGCAATTTTTTTAGATTACTGGAATCACTCCGTTTTTTGGCCTTTAATAGATCGTAGACTGTGCGATTTCGCTACCTTCCATTATAGTGACCACAGTACTATAACAAAGTTACGTTGCTTTTAATAGGCTATCCGGCCAAAGCTATGAGGCCTTCTAATATCTTCTTCATATACTATGTAGAAGATTTTTAGGGAAACCTGTTGTGAAACCTTAGCTTACGTAAGGTTTTTAGTTTACTTTCATTCTCTTTTGTTTATTAATTTAACAGTTTCAGATTCTATATTTTCTATAATACAGCATCATAATACCTCTTCGGAGCTTCAGCAAGCACCAGGTTTGATTTTAAATCATGATTTTACTGCAGTATAAAGGTAAAAATAGAAAGTAATGGTGTTTTGGAAGCTAATATGCCCACCTCTAAAAATTGAGGTCATTAGTCAGCTTAACAGATAGCAGTATTCATTTTGATATATTATCTATCTCGACGATAAATCGCGTTAAAAATTTGAACAAAATTTTTCTTTAATGTCAAAGTTGACAATTTTTTAGAACGTAAAGCAAACCTGGAAAACAGAATCAGTGAACAGGGTATGAATCGCAGTGGTGGACGTCCTCGATATGGTCATAAAGTTGTGCGCGATTCAAAAAAGCGTTCTCGGCGCTATAGGTGTGTTTTGGATTGTTCTAAATCTCTTATGTGTCTGAAATGAAAAGGAAGTCATACTGTCAGTTCACAGCGAATGGTTGAATTTAGAAAACTGAAATTTCAGACCAGGCGCGAAGGCGCTCAAAGAAATCCGCAAATATCAAAAATCGACGAATTTGTTGGTCAGAAAGCTGCCGTTTGCTCGTCTTGTTAAGGAGATTGCAAATGAAGTGACTAGTACTACTGAGAGGTGCCGTTTTGCAGTGGAAGCAATTGCTGCACTTCAGGAGGTTCTTTGCATCTCCTAGATCAATTTTTAACAAAATGTTTTTTATTTCGTGTCAAGTTGGGACTAATATGAATTTGTTCAACAACATGTCGAAAAAGAATATTTACTTCTAGTTTTCTGTTAAGAATGGATATGTCCTGCTTAGGGTGGTAGCTATTAACATTAGATCAATTGCTCTGAGAACATGAAAACTTTTAACCAACCAATCCGATAAAATGTTATAATAAATTCAAATAATTGCTTCATTTTGCATATAAATGCTATGACAACCAAACTTATTAAATAAATAGGACATGCAATGAGTAATGCAACAATATTGGTTTTGACTGCATGCGGACTTTGAAAAAAACAAAACCTCCTGAATGAGCTCATTTTATTGGATATCAAGGTCATTTAGCAATACCGCTTTTCGGATTTATTCTTTTGAATACAATGGAAGGATATACCGGGTCATCTTAGGAGCATTCAAATCTTTTCTATTTTTTTTATTGTGGGTTCTGAAAAATTTATGAGCAAGTATTGCTTCAAAATTAGGTGCAAATAACTTCTTATCATTTCCGTTCTTATGTCAAACATAAAAACAAAAAAGCTTGAAAGCATCGATAGCGTGAAAAAGAACAGATCAATGATGAAGATATCAAACTGAGTACAAATCTGCTTGGCAGAAATGACTATTCCCATTTTCTCAAGTAAATTTTTATTTCAGGCATCAGAAGCTTTTCTCGTCCAGATTTTTGAAAACGCGTTGTTGTGCAGTCAGCACGCTAAACGAGTAACAGTGATGCCGCGCGATATTCAGCTTGTTCGTCGTCTATTAAATTTTTGAGGGCATATACAATGCTTTTTTCATCACACATGAAATTGAATGAAAATGATATTTTTCCTGATCATATGAAAGCATTCCATAATGTTTAGTGTTTAATATTAAATTTCTTTTTTAGTTTAAACTGTCCGTTGGAAACCTTACATTCTAAATAGTTTTTATATCCTCTGTCCCTTTTTTTATTTCTAAAGCATCCATCAACTGATTTGATTAATGAAATTCTGCTAACTTTTTAAACATCACATGGTTTTCAGTGTTAATATAATACGGTGCAAAGGCAACAAAAGATATTTTTTGGGTGGGACAAATGTCGAAGAATCATAAGTCATCTGGAATGTCTGAAAATTATGTTTATTATGTAATATATAGCATTTAACGACTGTAAAATATTTTTTCCTTTTGTACATGGTGATTTTCATTTTACTTTCTATGTTAAGCGGTGAGGTGTGCAGCATCTTGCTAAAAGAATGAAAAGGAAGAAAAATTAAGAACTAACAAGAACAAGAGTTGAAAAAGGAAAATCATGAGAAAGCTAATTTGTCCTTTTAACTGATAATTTTATACTGTTTATGTAGTATTTTTCCATTATTCTGTTTAACAGACTTGTCAATCTGTTTTTCATGGTTTGAGTGGCTTTTTTGATTAATATTAGGTAGAGTAAAGTGCTGTTACTTCGAAAATAATTTATAGTAGCAGCGTAAGTTACCGAAGCAATGAACTCAGAATATACCAATGGGATAGTACTACCATAGTTCTAAAAAATCGTGTCCTGACTGAGTTTCTTCATTAATGCTATGGTTAATATGCGGAAGTCAGTTTTCAACCAAACATTCTTATAAGGTGTGAGATTGGATGCCCCCTGTGTATTTATGTCAGCAAATGTTACTGTCAAAGTTTCTGTTATTAATTTATTCACGAAATGTTTAGAATATATAATGAGCGAATATATAAACGTGTCTTCCAAATACAGTTTGATTCGCTGATTTTGTGCCTCGGATTAGGAAACGCTATATTCATAATGCCTTCTCTTTTCTTGTTTGATCTCTTTTAAATGGTGCAAATGTTGTGATAGCTGAAAAGTAGACATGATTCATTTGATAGTAAAACGTTTACTTTTTTATCACAACAAAGCAAATAAGATGCGTGAAGAAGAATACAAAACCAACGAAAGCTTCGGAAATTTGGTTGAATATATTTACGCTTTCTCGTGTTCTGCTGTGTTTCTTTTTTGACGCGATAGTAAATATAATATCAGATCCTGATGACTGGTTGATTTTGTTGTCGAGATTATTGGTTCGTTAGTTTTCTGCTTCTTCAACTACGTTTAAGGTTTATGAGAATTTTTTCTAACTCAGTTTCGATACTTTCCCATTGGGATTAAATATACTTTATGTACGAACTGCTGCATATAGCAGCTACAGTGATGTAGGTTCACCTACTTTTTTCTTTAAAATTTAATACACAAATTCTTGTTTAACTATTATCGGTCATCTAATCATGCAATTCAATGTTGTGTAAACAAAACATATTTAGATGAAAAAATTGCACGCCCATATGTTATTTTCTTGTCATTTTTTTTCCATCCAAAAATTTGTGGTTAATCTGAACATTGGAAGGTTGATTAACTCAATTGAGCAGTGAAGGGTTAATTAACTTGTTCCGTGTTTTACACTGTCTCATTTTAAAATTTTCTGTCACTACTTTACTGCAAAAGTTTTAAAAAAATTTTCTGCAAAAAAGAAATTTGACTTACAGAAATAACAAACTAAAGCAAATATTGCATAAAATTTGGGTGATCAATTTTTTTTATTTTGAAAACCCTTTAATCTAATTCAGAAATGAAATGAAAATAAGTGTTGAAACACTGCCGTTTTGAATTTCTGACGTAAAGCTTAGAGCGTGAGCTGACAACAAATGATTTATTTCAGGTATACATACCTTTAATTTATTTTTGAGAATTTCGTTTCTGCGAGAAACTTGTGTAATAACACATTTTCTTCTTACATATTCTGTAAACAGAATTTTTTCTATTTCTTTTTCTAATCTGAGTTTATTTTCCATTTTACTGCTGCTTCAGATAGCATTACTAAAAACATTATTTTGAAATTTATGGGGAGAATCATTACTGGAGGTAAATGTATTTGGATGGTATGGATATATATCCATATTTGGTTGATTGGGATCAAATTAAAACGTCTGAAAGCAAAATATTCATTACCTTTCAATTTAGTGCTATCTGTTTGAAAGAATGATGTGTATAATGTATGTCATGTATGTGGCACTCTGGTTATTTGTCTGATTATAAAATTTTACTTTGTATAATCTGAAGAAAATTCATTCAGCGATTGTCAAAGCAAAAGGGTGACATGGAAGGACATGGACAAAAATTTTATGACCCTTATGATGTGCGAAAAAGTTATTTAAAATTCTTGCATTCCTTTATAAGATTTGGTATTTTCCAAAAATTACGATATTTGATGATAAGCCATTTCTAAGGCTAGAAAAAAAAGATAACATACCAGAGATATTAATTGTACTATTGATCTGTTTGTCTAAGAGAATATTAATTACGCAGTTTATTGTGGGACTTTGATTTATTAAAATGAAATAGACACTGCTTTACTGTAAGTATATTGTGATTTGTATGTTATAACCTGTATTCTAAATTTTTCCTGGATGGTGTTTCAATTTCTATCTCCTCAATCTGTGACTACTTATCAAATAATTGTATGATACATAGTGGCAAGTTTTGATGGGAGTTTAGGTTGAATATTTAACAGACAGATTGATGCATCATTGACATAGATTACTTCTCAGGCATTCCCATATTCTATATAAAATTCGAAAATTCTGGTCGCATTACTGAGAATTCGAAAATTTCGGAGTTTTGCCTGATGAAAAAGTCTTGCTAAGCTCCTACAGAATTCTCAAAACATTATAACGAGAGAATTTTAACAGAAAAATAGATCATTTGAACTAGGATAATGGAAACTTTATGATTTTCACACGAGCGGCTTTTGTTTTTTCTTTTGCCATTACTCATATTTTGGTAACTGCATATTTTGACTATTTTTGTATATTCAATAATGTCGCTTTTTTCTAGTCATGCATGATGATACATGCAATTCATTGTGCGTGCAATGCATGTACAATTAAATAATCAGAAATTTAGCGTGTTATGCGATGGGAGGTAGTGGAAATGAATGTTTAGCGGGAAATGAAGCTTTAATTAGGGATGGTAATTTCAAACGCTCTACTAACAGCAGTTTACCGATCGCCCCTCCAGATGGTTTGTTTTCTATGAAAATTTGTTCGTTTTCTATATTACTATTCATCCATTACTTTTTCCATGCTTAAGGCTTGAGGCTTTATCAGTTAATCGCCACAATGTCGGAGTGCTGTTTGCTTCAGTGTTTATCAGTTTCCCGATACATTAAATTGGATACCATGAATTGCAGGTGGGTACGGATGGATAATCGTACTTGCCTCGTTTTTTGCCAATCTTATCGTGGATGGGATTATTTATTCGATTGGTGAAACACTTGTTGGAATTTGGGAACAGGATTTCAAAACGACGGCTATGCAGGCTTCTATTGCGCAGTCATTACTTACCGGGTTTTATTTACTTGCAGGTTTTACTTTTTATTTTTTTTTTCAACAATTTTTTCGGTCGACATTAATGGTCTTATTAATTGATTTAAAGAAAAATATTATATAAAAACATCGATAAATGGTTAGGGTTCACAGCTATTTGGGGTTAAGAGATGATGATTTAAGATGTCTGTCGATAAAGCTTTTTTCATCATGAATGTAGGAGTAAATTTCCGGGAATTCTGATTTTATTGCTTTTGTTGACCATTCATAATCATATTAATATTTTTAAGGTCCTCTAGCAAGCGGTCTTTCAAATGTATTCGGATATCGTTTGGTTGTCATGGCTGGTTCTATAATGACATTTACTGGTTTCATTTTATCTTCCATCGTATCATCACTTCCATTGCTTTATATCACATTTGGTATTATTGGCGGTAAGTGTATGCCAGTTTCGAGTCCTTTTTACGAAAAAGGAAATATTCTAGGAACGAAAAAACTGAGATTTTTGTTATGAAAATTACTTAAATGATCGCTTGATTTTTCCTGTTCAAACGTTTTGATTTATGACAAAGAATTTCACCTAGTATTAATTATATAAATGTTGTCACAATCTTGGAAAGCATTCTATGGAAATCTGATTTTTTTTGATTTTCATATCACTTTTGTTTCACAGAAATCAAATAAATCGATTGTGGTTGAGTTTTTACAATTAATGAATTCAGGAATTGGCTTTGGACTTGTTTATTTGCCATCAATATTAATTGTGAATGAATATTTTGAAAAACGAAGAGCACTTGCCATGGGAATAGCTGTATGTGGTTCAGGCATTGGTACTACCATATTTTCACAGGTTTGTCAGCTTAATGAAAAACTGCACTACCCTTTAATTTAGTTTGGAACAATACAGAGAAAAGATTGTTCGCTGTATTGAAATTTTTTATTACGTCTTTTACATCGTCTAAGGACCAAATTTTACTGGAAGTTTAGGTGTATTTTCAGTTTCTCATATATTTCAGTTATTTCCATTTTTACTAAAAGCCTGTGAGAACAACTGGAGACGTTTTCTTGTTTATGCAGCATTTACTACACTTTTGTCCATTTTCTGTGGTTTGTGTTATCGAAAAATACCATTAGTGACATTGGAAGATAATGAGGTTTGTGTGCTTTGCACTTGTTGATAAGTAATATAAAACCAGTTTCTAGACCTTATTTTTAATTTTGAAATAGAAATCGATGTGGTAATGTGTTTTATTGGGCATTATTTTATATTCAATGCAAAAAATCTACGAACAGGTTGGATCTAAAATCAAGACAGAGAGCTAGTTTTTGAATAATTTCATCGAAATTTACGTAGCATTTCTGATTTACAACAAATCTAATAGTGCTGACGAGTCAGATTGGTAATATCCTATTGACATATTGGAATGTACTTTCATCACTGCAGGAAAATGAGTATCTATTAATTTTATCCTGTAAAGATTGAAAAAATGATTTCATCAATTATTTCTGAGATATTGCCCAAGAAAAACAGAGAAATTAAGAAACTATTCAGGTTCAGTTACAGCCTGCCAAAATACCTCTCTTAATTCAAACCTTTGTAAAACACCATTAAAAACTCATGGAAATTTGCAATAATTATTGATCGAAAATTAATTTAATAATTTATGCATGTGACAAGTGGGGAAGGCAATGTTAATAATGGTTTATTATAACAAATTACAATTCCAAGTCATTTGAAAAAAGTGGATCCAAATCAAATATCTAAATCCAGCATTGTCTGTCCTTAGAAGGTTGAATTTCTTTTTTTTAGAATGATTTTCTGATCTAAACATTAAAAGAGATCTAAACATTTAATCTTTAAATTTTAATAAAATCTGGTTTTTTCGAGTTCTGAACCGTCAAAGATAAGTGAACCTATAAGTAAGGAACGAACAAAAATTTTTTAATTTCCCATTTATTTTACTGAGCTAATATTTCAAGTAGAATTTTCAACCAGTTTTATATGGTTAAATAATTGTCTTAATTTAAATGTGGAAAAACAAATATGTAATTAAAATGTTGTAGGTACTATTTTATCCTGTAGTCAAAAATACATATGAAAAATAAGCCTTAAAATAGAAATCATTTTTACCAAAAAGTCCCTGTACATAAGAAACGAAACAAATACGCGTAATGATGAGATCTAGTATTTGATTCAAATAAATCATGATTTAATTAAGCCGAGTATTTGTTGTTTAATTGTTATATTAACATTTCAACAGTACTGTAAATCATTGTAATTTCACATAGCATCTTGTAATACACACAAATAGATACAATGACAGTACATGATGAAACATGCTGAACAAACCATGTTAAACCAATTACATCATGAAGAATTCATTAAACTAAAACTAAAGAACTGTCTTCCTGCGAATAGATTATTCAGATACAAATGATCGCTCAAATTATTATTTATTACAAATTACTCTCTTTGGTTTTAAGCTTTTATAAAAATTCAAATCTCGTACGCATTTTTTAATGCATCATTTCTATTTTTTGATTTATTCATTGAAATTATCTAAAGTTATAGTAATATGATGCACAGTTGAGCTAGCTTTTTTCTTCATTAAGGAGAAAGGAGTGAAATCTAATTCTGATTTGTCCTATGAAGGAAACGATGGGCATGACAACCTGTCTTCTCAACTAACCATCAACTCTTCAGTATCAATTAACAATTCACGAGGAAAAATGTGTCGTTAGTATTTCCTTTTTATGATTATAAATAGAAAACTTGCTAAATTGAAAATGGGATATTGATGCCAGAATTTATAGAAAACACAAGTCTAATGTGTCCAATGGTTTTCATATTTTGGTAGTTGGAGATTTTCCATTGAAATATTGAGAACTTGACAGCGATAGGGTGAAGTTGTACATAGGAATATTGTTATACCTAGTTTTTCTACGCAAAAAAAACAAACTACTATCCAATTCCGGGAAAATTTGCTGATGCATATGATTTTTGCTTTGAATTGTGTTTATACAATTTGTAGAAGAAGAAACAGAAGAAGCGACGGGTAATTTAATGATGACCTCGGTGACGACAACACCAGAAATATCACGAAAAACTAGAAGACAATTTATTTTATTTACCGTAAGTTCCATCAAATTATGCACAATAAACAAAGCAGAAAATTATGTGCAAAAACGAATTACATTTCATTGGCTTCTCAAATGTATAATATTACTTGGATTACTTTGTGATCACATCCTTACATGCAGTATTTTGATGTCATCATAGGTTGTATTATCCAAATGCTTTTTCTTCAATTCTGATAATGATAATGATCAATTAAATAAATTTGAAGGTTCTACGTTCAATGGTTGATACAAGCTTACTCTCAGATCCCAGCTTTATACTGATTGCAATTTCCGCCTTCCTGACACTTTCCTCTCTCTTTGTTCCGTTTATTTTTCTTGGCAAACAGGTTCGTCACTTTATTTTTTTTGCTAAAAAATTTTATATAAAAATAATCATATTGTATTTGTTATGATATTTTTCTTTTTCTTCTGAAGAATTTGATAATGTGTAATACAATAGGCACTTTGCTCACTTTCATTTTTTAGGCAATTACGGTAGGTGCAACTTCAAGTCAACAATCATATTTATTAATGATTATAGGGATTGTGAATATTTTTGGACGAGTATTATGTGGGTTCGTTTATTCATTTTTTTCCTTCACTAATGTACAAATTTATTTATTTTTTTATTTCCTTGTTTACGTAGCACATATGCATTTATTATAGGCTAATATCAGATTTACCAAAAGTAGATCCATTATTTGTTCATAATTTGGGCGTAATCATTGGTGGTATAGCAACTTGCACTGTACCATTATTAACACAATATTGGATGTATGTTGTATATACAATACCGTTTGCATGGAGTGTTGGTATGAGCTATTCGCAATCTTCTAATTTTAGGCCTGAAAATTTACGATGCAATCATTAGAAGATGGAAGGTTAAATATTGGCATTTATTTTTTTATCTAAGTATATTAATTAAATGAGTCGGAATAAGCTTGCAGCGTGTTTTTCATCACTTCGTGCTATTATTTGTATTGAATTACTCGGTTTGGAAAAGCTTTCCAATGCCTTTGGTATGATGATGCTCTGTATGAGCATTGCTGCTTTAATTGGTCCGCCACTTGCTGGTAAATTATCATTTAAATTTATGAAAATTTTATGAAATGGAAATATGGTCCAAAAATATCTAAGATAACTAAAATTATAGATGAATCGGAAAAGCAAATTTGGCGGTATTCTCTACTTCGTAGAATAAACAAAAAAGTAGAGGTGAGAAAAAAATTCAGATATTTTCAGAGGACTGTCGGAGAATATTTTAGGAGTGATTAATTAGCATAAACCTATTTTCAGAATATATCTCAATAAACGTATTGCAGCGCTGTTCAAAGATTTGAGTGGAAATTTCAATCTGTCATTTTATGTGATGGGCGCATTGCTAACACTGAGCGGTGTGCTATGCATACCGCTTCGAATAATCAAGTCACGAATACCGAATGCAAAGTTGCAGAATAATATCAGACAGTCGCAATTGCAATCTATGCGTGCAACAGAACGATTTTGAAAAATTTTGTGGAAATTATTGTGATGCTTTTCTATTGCTTCTGAAACGTTATGTTGTTAGCAGTTATTGCTTCCTCTGAACTAATGCTCGTCAAAAATTAAAATCAATTTTTTCAGCAAGATGTGTTGGAATTTGTTTATTTCCCATGAAATAAAATCGTTGGCAATTTTTCTTTAAATTCTTCATTATAGAGTTGTTGCTAACCGAAATCACCTATCAATATCACTGGAAGAGAAAGAAATAGATAACTTTTTCAGCAGTTAGATAATTTTCTTGAGTTCAACAAAAGATTCATGCATAATAATTATCGGTACTGGACCATATTATTATTTGGTTTCATAATTTGTTATAAATGCCAATTTTCCACGTACAAAAGAATTCAATTAAGTTCAAGATCGAAATCATTGATTAATTCTCAAATCTTAGCAAATTACAGAGTATAAGTCGAAGATGTTTGAAGCTACTGTTCGAAAATCGACAAGTAACATGAATTATATCAATGTGATATGATTCAACATCTAGAGGAAGCATTAGGCAATTATTGCTGGAGTTACTTCCATCTACAGTAACATACTCGTGGTAAATTTAAGGCTATCCATTTAATTTTTCCGGAGTTTGGAATTTTACTTGTGGGATTAACAGTAAATAATTAATTAATTCACATATTGAGTAGGGTAAAAGAAATATGACACTGTCAGTATGAATATAAAATCGTATTCAACAATGTTAAATTGTAAGGGTGTGCTGTAGATATCTTATTTCACCCACTGTAACTAGGCATCTATTATTTTTCAAGCTGAATCACCAAAATAATAAAACAGCATTTAGAAGAGTATGAAGGATAAGTAGAATTCGGAGTGTTTTTTCAATTTTTTGCATCCAAAAACATCTGGACATTCTTTTTCCATTAGTCGAATAATTATTATACTTATAAGTTACTGCTCCACGATAAGTAATTAGTGCCAGCGTTTCTGCCAACATTATTGTAGCCATTTTTGCTGCAATATTTTTGGCCGTGAAGCAGTGTTATTTAGGTAATTATGAGTGAAATTTCAAGATACTTTCATAATACTTGCTATATAACAATTCTTCTCTTGATTTTTTTAAAAATACAAACTAATCTTAAAAAAGTTTTCTCCAACGAAAAAAAAAAATTTATACAACAACATACCACAGAAGGGAGTATTTTGCTGATCAAGTGGTAACCTTTTCAGCATTTGAGTATAATTCAGAATCTGAGCCGCAAAACATAACAAAAGCCATAGAATAGAACTGGAAGTAGATACAACTGTTCCTACCATAAATGTTATCCTGAAATTGGAAGAGAGTTCTATTATTGAGATTTGCAATAGATTGCATTAAATTAAAAGACAATATCTTTGAATAAAATTATAGAAGTTTTGATTATCAAGCTTTTGTACCATGAAATTTAATAACGTTCAAAGGAAATCGGTAAGAATCCTTTACTTTTAGCAGGTAGAAATTTCTGATAGAAAAAAAAAGCGACTATAACTGCCATTTTTTTGGTGTTTTATGAACGTCACTCAAAATTTAGCATTTTCGAATAGAATAGAATCAGTTAGAGTATGAGAAATAAATAAAATTATTGAATCCTGTTCTACAATGAGAAATTCTATAAAAAAAAAAAGACTAACGTTGCCAAACAAAATAAGGGTAAAGCGATTGTCACCGAATAATAATATACGATTCTGCGAAATTTTATTTCAAAACGTATTATTGAACGCATCATTTCAGGTTTGTCTCTTGAATGGCATAAGTTTAAATGGCAAAAATTGAAAGAAAAACCCTGTTGTAAACATAAATAAGAATTTATGCAAAACAAAAAATGAAACTGACGCGCTTTCGTTGGCAGTAATTTTGCCGAATGGAAGGATGAAAAGCAATGTTGCAGATAGATTTGTAACTTCAAATTCACCAGATCGGATGGTTCGTAATTCATTCATCAAACTACCGAATGCATCCGATTTCTGAGTTAATGATGTCCATCTTGAGAATTTCAATCTGAAAGCTTTTTATTCCTTGCTGGAATAGCAATTCATTTCACTATAAATCAAAATGCCAACCAAACAGATATGAATGTTGAAACGAATCATGTAATTTGCTGAAAGCCTTATTTAGGAAACTGATTTTTTGATTCTTACTAGTGGAATAATTAAAGATTCCTAAATTGTTGAATTATTTTCTCTAAAAATAGATTTAGACGGAAAATATACTTTGAGAATGAACAAAAGTGGAGTTCTACTGGCTGCACTGCATTATTATATTTCATAGTTTACAAGGTTACTGTAAAGATTAAACAGCACCTGGACAATGGTAACGGTGTGAACATAGTTAACAAACAACTCTGAATATCATTTGGATATGCGCTGAAATCCAACGAACATGTTGAACGAATTGTTAATATCACCTAAAGCAATACTGTGTTTGAAGTACATTTTTGGTTCAGGTATTGTTACATTTTGAAAAGCTTTGAAACGTTTCCTGCAGCTCCCGAGTGGAATCTTGATAGAATTTTAGCTTTTCAATTTCTAGACTAATCAAGTATCACTTCAATCTCTGATAAAATATCAAATATCCAGAAATTGATTTTTATTTTGTTCACCTGTGCATAAACAGCTCCATTGCTGATCAATGTCACTTCAGTATTGAAATATTGCATTGCTTGATCACTCCTCAATTTCCTATAATTCATTCCTTATTGTTCCTATAGTATCATTAAAGAAAATACCGCTCAGCACATTCTGTCTTTGACCCATTACTGTCGATATCCAGATTGGTGTCATGACAAGTGGATAAAAATAATAACAAAAAGCAATTAATGTGAACGTATCCTAATATAATATTCTTTAAAAAAAGGTATACTTAAATTTCAGTAAAGTGGACAGCAGGAAACCACATTCTTGGTAAATCACTTTTCTGTCGTACGATTTTGCCAACATTACCGTAGTCTCGTGGTTCCCAAACAATTCTTTTATCAGTCCAGTGCTATAAAATGCACTAAATTTTAGAAACTTTGCCAGCTGAGAGTTGAGAAAAGCACGAAAAATTCAAACTTACAAATAACATACTACAATGCATATCCATTAACTGTTGTTTTTGGTCCTGGAAAAGATAAAACATATATTGAAATATAACGGAAAATCAATAAATATATTGTAAAATGATAGAAGATAAAATTTGTTAACAGTGAAACAAAACAAACAAGTTGTTCAATGTGATCAATAAACATGAAAGGTAAGACAACGGTTGGTGATTCAGAGGGCAAAGTGTAATCATAGTTTTCCTTTTTGAATATTTTTTTCAGCAATATCTTCTCATTTTCAGCCATTTTCTGCAAAAATTCATTCATAATATAAGTATACTTTTATAAAAATTCATTTTAAAAACATGTTCGATCAATCAACAAATACAAATTTGAAAAATTTATTATTTAGAAATTTTATCTGATAAAAAGAGATACCTGAATGGTTTTGATTTGTTCACTAAATATTGGTAGGAATAGCAGATACAGAAAGTTTAATGTAGAAGCCATATAGCATTGCATATTCACAAGATTGTAAATTGCAGATTCAGCGCTTACTAGAAAAGCTATAATCTAGTAATTTGCTATCCAATCTCAAATTTTCAGAAAGAGGTCAGAATCTTCTTTGGAGTTGGAATTATTGGTTATTTAAACTGGACACCTGCCGTCTTAAATCCTTGTGAAATGCGATTCGTTGAAGTCTTATCTTAATAAAAATAAATTTTAAAAAAAATTTTGAAAATATGTGAATTTATAAGCCATCAAAAAGAGGTTTCAATGCTATGATTTATAATAACTCGTACACATCAGTGTGTTTCAATCTGTTTATATTTACATCACTCAATAATTTATAAACAGTTTCATGTAATGTAATATTAGAATTATCATTGATCCCGCTGCCTTTGATTATTATAATCTACTTCAAAAGAAAAGAGAGAAAAGAAATATAGTAGCTTCCATACTTCTAGCACAAATAATCCGGATCCAGAATTTTATCTAAGTTCAAAATGATTTCGTGATGTGATACATATTATAATATGTAACTGATTTTTCTTTCTTCAAATTATAAATTATTAAAATTACATTCTCTCAAATTTCGATGTGGAGCTACTTGCATTTTTTCCTGAAATTTCATTTAATTCAATCGTTATTGATTAAACTATTATTTGAACGTCCATGTGTCAGCCAATCTAGATTTGATAATTTATTTTCAGTTCAGTTGAAACTTTTCACAAAAATCACGTTCACTTTATCAGTAATTCTATCTCATCTGCCACTACTAAATCATTAACTGACATTCTTTTATTGACATATGATAATCAGACGCGATTTAATTAGGCAGTGATCTATGTTAGCAAAAATTTGAATCATAGTGTAGATATCTTTTATCATATAATGCATGCATCATATGCTATTATTATTTTATCAAAAAACTAAAAATTTTCTTTTCTTAAAAATAAAATAAATACCTTACTAATATGAATATTCTCCGTTCAAAATTTGTTTAAAAACACAATTTGTATATAACTTAATTTATAGAATTCAACAAAGGATTCCATAAATAAAATTATATACAAATTTATGAGTACTGCAAGTATAAGATTTATTATTTCATCTAAGATTAAATATTTTTCGGTGAAAAACAATAACATGCCTTGAATGGTTTGTTTTCTATGATTTTCGAAAAATGCCAAAACTGGTGTTCATCGCATTTAACTACTTCAAATATAATGCATGGTTTCGTTTATAACAATTATTTAAGAGATAGTCGCTTTCATTGCAAGCGGAATGGTAAACAATGATGCAGTGGAATAAATAATTCTCAAGATCCATTGAGGATAAAAAGTGTGTTTCAGCAGGGATTTCAACAAATGAACTTTCAATCAGTATATATACGAAAATTTTGACTCATCAAGTATAATTCGGCTGAAGTGCTGCTTCTTCTTCATTTCTCTTCTTATCCCTCTTCATGAGGAATTGCTGTTTATTTAATAAAGTGCTAAATAAAATTACTTCAACAAAACAGTTCAGTGATGCAAATTCTTGTGAGCAATTACTTATTTGCAAGTTCTTTGCAATAAAATCTCACAATTTTCAAGGAACTTCGGAAGGTGATAAATCCTACATATCCTTTTTTTTCGACTTTTTATTGAACAATTTTGGTCATCCATGTTTATCATTTTGTTCATCTGAAAATTTTCTCTATTATTTGTTCTGCATTGATACTTTAAATTACCACAAATCCATCATTCCATTTCTTATTCGAATATCCACTACTATTTACCATTTTTTAATTAGCCTAATTCGTTTCATTTTCAGTCTGAATGATGAAAGTCTACATTTCACTATATCAAAGATCCAGTTATTGATAAACAGTAGTCTAGTTAACATAAATGCTGCTTTAACGCTACATGACCCCTTTTATCCAGAACTTTTTGGGCCATGGCGTAATCTTCAGTTGGTAGTAATGGATTCTGTCCTTATCGATGGAGCTAACGTAGAAATAGCCGATTCAAATTATTAATTTCCCATATAATGCTACGATTTCGAAAATTTGTGCGTTCCTAACACCGCAGGTTTTGATGCTGAAAGCGTCCATGTTTAAACTTATTTCTGTTACAAAAGATGTAAGCAGGGATACTGAATCCCACAAATTGCAAGCACTACTAAAAACCCGATGTTTTCTATTCTTTTCATTTAAAATATCAGCGCCACCTATCTCAAAAAACATGTTGCCCTGCAAATTAAAGTGTCGTTTTTCGGGTTCTATTCTCGGAAACACTTTTAATAATTTGACTTTCGAATCTTCTGTCCAACTTTCAATTGATTTCCACCTTTTGCCCACAATCTACTGCTTTTTTGGAGCCAATAAGATAATGACGTTTCCAGATGTACACATCTAACTTCATCAAGAATCTTTCCCATACCATGCAAGTTTTTGTGTTTTATTTTATTCCACCTATTAGTCAGGCTGTCCGTGGAGTCGATTTAGACATGAAAATGACAAATGCGGTGTTAAAACAGATCTTTAAAATTATGCACAATCATTTTTTAAAAATTACCATGCAAATCATTAATAATAAAATTCGATTACACAGAAACCTCACTTTTTGGTAAAACATTTCACGGAAATTTGAATGAAAATCATACAAAAGCAACGCATAGAACGTGTTTACAACTTCATAAAAAATATTGGGGCAAAAAAATATATATATCAAGAATATGAAAACTTGACAAAATAATAAAAGGAAGCTGACACAACTCATGATGAGGTAAATAAAAGGTATACCTTCCTGGCGCCATTACAACAATGATGCCTTTACCTTGTCTGCTGAGCAAAAAAGGGAAAAATTACATTCCTTCATGAACTGGAAATAAATACAGCAGCGACATTGCCGATATAGGTAATATCCTAACTAATACCTTTTCTACAAATAATTTCTGAAGATTATCCAAAAACTTAGAGGTCTTGAAAAATTACACAGTTACTATGCCCATTCATTGGACTTTTGAATTCAAAAGTCGAATGCTAGTTCAGCAAACTCGCAGCATAATATCATATATATATCACAAAAACAATGAAACTCTGAATCAAAATGAATGAAAATTTTAACAAACTGTAGATATTTATGCCATAAAATGCTTTCTAGACAAGCACATTAGTCGTTTCTAAAAGACAATAACAAATCAACTTGGTCTAAAAGAAAATATGAAAGGTTTCCAATAAAATCCTACGGAGATGCACAAGATTCGAGATACATACCATAAAAAATTATTTATGCACATAGCATACAGATACACATTATGTTGCTCGCTGTACGCATAGCAAAAAAACGTGATTAATTTCAAGAAAGGGAACAGTAACAAATCTCAAGTGAAGATGATTGGGGATTTGTATAGGGAACACTTTGTATAACCTGATACGAACCACGTTTCGCATAAATGTTTTACCTTCTTTTCTTCATTATACTATATGTGTCGTTCTAAAAGAGCGAGAAAAAAACTAACCACAGTAACTGTATTACATATAAAATATAAACTGCGAAGCTCATATTGTGTTACGATAGGCTTGATATACATCTCAAAACGAAATGAAATTTTTTCTCTATGTAAACGCAGTAAAATTCCTACTCCTATGTATTTCATTTAAAAAACTGTAACAAGTTAATCCTGCTCTCTGATAGCGGTGACTTAGTTTCAACGAGTGAATTTGTGCTTGAAATTATTCAGTATACTGAATCATAATAAAATGTGCTTACCGGAGGCATAGATCAGCCTCATGTTTGTTGAGGATCACAAGCAGTAATTGGAGTGTTAACTCCAAGAGGTGTACCACATGCTGCTGGTGGAGCAGCGGATGAGGGAGGTTGGCTTCCTGTATTCACACTCCATCCACCTATCGACGTTAATTCAAAATCTGGCATATAAGCTGAAATCAAACATTCATATTAAATTTTAAGCAACACATTTGTTAAGTAATATATTTAATTAAATACATCCGCTACGTCAAGCGAAACGAATCTCCATCGAATTTACACTAACCTATCAAAAACATGAACAAGTCAAAAAAATACAAACTTTGAGGAGGTGGAGGTCCCCCAATTGCCGACATTGTAGTGGGCATCTGATGATTCATACTAGGCAATGAGTTCTGCATAGCACTGGGATCGAATTGTGTATTTTCTACTCTAGAAATAGTTCTCTCGTCCTCTTCACCATATTCACCACCCATCATTGAAGGTTCGCCCACTACCATAACATCCTGATACTGGAGTGGAAACTGCAACAATTAGAGTGAAAACATCTATTTAAAAAAATTAATGAGAATCCCAAAATATCTGGAGTATGGATAAGCATTCCGTCGAAATTCATTATTCACATTAGCAAACAAAGAATCTCAGCGTAGGACAAATAGTGACATAAACTAAAAGTCTACATAATGATATTAACCGACAGTTATTGATTTAATAAATAAAGAAAAAAACAAACATGCGAATTCATTGAAAAATTAGCAGTATTTGTGGATGGAGGCGAGTTATTTTTCTTTTTAGCATTCGATGCTGCATTCGCACCAGTCGCAGTTTTCCTTGTTCGTTTTCGAGGTTTCTTGGAAGTCGGCTCCTCCACCGGTGTCGGTGGTAACACATGGGACGGATTCATACCACCTGCATTGACAAATGGAACAAGGAATTAGCAGGACAAGATAGTGAAAACCAAACATCAAGCATTACAAGCGTCCAACCAGAAAATTTTAAGTGAACAACTTACCAATTGCATTCATTGCCATTTGTTGCTGCTGTTGATGC